CATTGCCAACCTCTTCTGCCAGCTTGGGGTCGTTGGTAATGAGGAAGCTGTCAAAAATTGTGCCAGACTTCACCTAAAAAAAAGAAGAAGAAAATACAAGGAGAGGTGGTTTAAAACATGTCAATAAACAGTTATTAAATATTTGAAAACTGTAACTGTCTTTGAGACACAAAGCAAATCGCTACCTGCCACAGGTCCAGTCCAATCACTCCGACGCTATTGTATTTATAGATTTCGTTGTCAGCGGTGTACTCCGGGTTATCAATCTCAGGGTGCACCCATTTCCCCTTGTAAGCAGGATTGTCAATCTGGCGGGGTTTCCACTCACCCTTGAAAAGATTAAAAATGTAATTTGGGAAACAGCAAACAGACCCAGTATTCATTGTGACAAAACAATGTTTTTAGGTATTATCTGCATCTTTGTTCAATATTAAAGCCGGCATGAAATTTAAATGTACCATATACATGTTCTAAATGCATGTTATTGATTTATAGTGAACGATTCATCCATGTAGTCCATATGTTTCATTTTTGTAATTTGTCTCTTAATTAGATCTTCCAGTGAAATGACAGACTTCTCTCTGGTGATGTACGCCAGGTATCTCCAATCTGCATAAACCCACCATTTCTCACAATCGACCTCAAGCTTACTTTCAGCTCTGCCTCCATCCTATCAACAACTGATGGACTGAACTACCCTTCCTGACATTTATTACTTACGATAATCGGTTTTACTCTGATGTATGTCACAGTGCATAAAAAAAGAAAAGATCTGTCGCTATGTCCGTTAAAGAAAATGTCAGTACCTTGTATTCAGGATTGGTGACCATGGGCGGCTCCCACTCCCCATCCATCTCATCGTCCCAGTCATCAGGCTTCTTGGCATCAGGATCAGGGATGTTCTCGGGTTTGTCCCAGTCCTACAGAAACACACAGACAAAGATGATATCAGACAAGCCGAGATGAAGATGACACATAATTTTATACTTTATATCAGAACAGCTGTTAAGCTACAGGAAATCCAGCAAATGAAACAATTTACTTGGTGATCTTTGCATATCCACTCCAAATAGGGGCTTATAAAGTTAATCTGTTTTGCGACAAACAAGAGAAAGAATCTCTTTGGTTTCTGGACGAACAACAAGGCCTTACCTCTGGTTTCTTGTCATCAGGGTCGTCGATCTTCTCCCTCTCGTCCCAGTCTTCAGGTTTTTTCGCTTCGGGATCTTTGATCTTTTTGGGAGGCAGGAAGTCCCAGTCTTCTTCCAAAGATCCAGACTCTGCCTTCTTATTATCAATCTTGACTTCATAAGTGTTGTCAGGATTGACAATTAATGTGTATAAGTGGGTGTATTCATCATCCTGGATGATAAAATACATGGTATATGAACTTGTAGGACTGGTGCCATGGTGCATTATGGGACAAAAAATAAATCAATCAATAAATTAACAATAGGATTACCTTGCATCTAACGTCTTTGTTGATCAAATGATTTTTGCCTTTGTAATTGAAGATTACATGTACTTTCTTAGTGCCAGGGCCACAGATGTCAGGACCTGGAAGTGATAAAATGCTAATTAAATCATCCTGCGTGTCCAAAAGCACAAAATGTTTTGATACATGTCCAATTTCACATCAGATTTAAGATGTTCATCAGTAAAGTGGTTATTAAGATACTCACCAAACATGATATTATATGTGGAGTCTCCATGCATATCTTCCTGTTTGAGGTCTGATGGGAAAAGTTTGATGTAGCCTCCACCACAGTCAATGCTCTGCTCATGTTTTACAGTGAACTGGATCACGAGGGGCTGATCCTTGTTGCTGAAATCAGCGAAGCGGGATGACAGCGCGTAGAAATGAGCATCCTGACTGGTCTGAAGACCTGCAAGTTTACAATAAGATATCTGAGCAACTTTTAATAACTTTTCAGTTATTAAAATCCCCATAGAAATCATCTGATGAGTAAGGCTACAATTAATGATTATTTTGATAATCAATTATTCTGTCAACTGTTTCTTTGATTAATCGGATAGAAAAATCCAGAAATCGATTAATCGGTTTCTTTCTTTGATTAATCAGATATAATTATTAAAAATAGAATAATTTTAATTAAAAATAAACATTTTAATCCATTATTTAAAGAATTGTTATTTCACATTCTATCCAACTTTGTCCTTCAAACAATGTGTAATTTGAAGGCAATGAAAACAAATATAAATGTTAAAAGAGACAAAGTAGGAGGAACACACATTCAATCATCAAAACATTTTACATATTTACTCCGTTATAACGGCCACTTTAATGCTACCGCCTTCATAAAAAAAGTACAAGTTTAAAATTCTACAACAAGAAATATTAGAGAAAAATAAAAGCATCAATATTTTTGGTCCTTTTTATTTTTATTTTTTTGAAAGACTGCTAATTTTGAATGTGAAATAAAAACAAATCTGCTTAAAGTAAATGAGATACATATGGCCTCAAATATATATTTTAATTATATACATTTATATTTTTCATTTCACACTGTCTTTAAGGCATACTATATTCCTCAACCTCAGCAAAGCACAAAGTTAGACAAAAATGGGACTAAATTTAGTCTGTGCCAGGGTTACTGGGCCCTAGAGTACACCTTGTTTTGTAATGTTTTGAAACATAGTAAATATCAGATGGTGTTATTACATGCCTGCAGCTCAGAAGAGCAGAGGGATTGATGTTTTAGACAGTAGCCCCTCCCCTGGCCTATTATTCAGTGCATAAAATAATGCAAAACGGAGGAAACCCCAAATTCAAACAAACTGGTGTGTTATCTGGAGCATGACAAATATAAAGCAACACTCACCCTTATCTTTCTCAGCATCACCATAAAATTTGCCTGCAGAGAGCACAAACTTGCCGTAGTCTGATCTATGCTTGGATTCCACCCATCGGCTCCTCCAGGTGTCTGAAATGTGCATGTGTGACATGAACATGAAATTAAAAGCATTATCATTAGCATGTATATATTTATAATTATGAGTAATATCAGATTAAATCAAGGACGTTTGCTACTTTGACCATATCATTCATCCATGCTGCCTTGACTATTTGTTATAAGATAACCACTATCTAAACCGACTAAGATTTTTAAATTATTATTATTATTATTATTACTTAATGAATGCAACACACCATTGTCGCGAAGCCATTAAAAATGTATATAGTGAATCCATCACATATATAACATCACGTCTATGGTGACTCCATCACATGCTCGAAAGCCACAGAAAGCATAAATTGCATTCAAAAAGCATAAAAACACAAATGCTTTAAACTTACCACCGTCTTCAAATTGCTCTCGGAAATAAACAGATGATTCTGCAGTTATTAAAGCGATGAACACCGCCATAAACAGTAGAGATAACGCTGTCATCTTTGCAGTAAAATATATACCCTTTTAAGGGAGTTAGAATATTAAAATATAAAGAAAGTGATTTAATAAGAAATATGAGGCTTGAATATGTATATATAATGAGCTCTGTTTGGCTCTTCTCATGCCTGCAGAAATCACTGTGCGCTGTTATCTTTCGCACAGTCTCGCCTCTAGACTGGGAACAGATGGCTGGCTCTGATTGGACGGTAGCTGGAGATGATAGCGTCACACCGGTCAGCCAATCAGATCATTTTGCGGAATGCCATGGGAACGTCCTTTCTGGCCAATGCCAGCTGACCACGCGTTTGGCAGACACCAGTGATGAGAAGACTCATTTCCGCGAATCGGTTCAATGAACCGGTTCGGAAAACTGATTCAGTGGTTCTAATACGTTCTTACGTGGTCCCTGACATCAGGCAGTCTATGGTATACTACACGATCTAAAATCTTTCATTAAAGCCGTATGTATATACTACTCTTTTTCAGATTATAAAACCGATTATACACGTTTTTTTAATTAAGTTTGATTAATTACGGCGTTACTGGCTTTTTGCACGTTTTAATAAAATGCTATACAACCAAGTCTGTCATCTATGTTAATTAAGCAGTCTTACAATAAAATTGTGAATGTAATATTTCTGATATTTGGTTATTAAAGAGATGGTGTTTGTTTATTTTCACTGCAATTTATTAAACCAAGCAAGTGGTTTGCAAAATCTATATTGAGATATCAAGTTAAGAGTTTGAGAGCTTGGCACAATATATTTTATTTCTCTCTTTCTCTTACATTAGATAAATATCAGTAACAATGCCATTTCCCGCTGGTGTCTGTGTTATCAATGGGAAATGGAAATGCAGAATTTAAGCTTGCTCAACTAATATTGACAAACAGCACTAAGCCAAACCCTAAGAAGAAAACTGAATGTTTAGTCATTTAAATTTTAAAATGCTGTTAACAAAAAATCCCACCCTGTTTGGCATCACTTGGCTGATTTTTATTTGTAGACAAAGCCCTTACAAAAGTTTAGAATTTTAGCTGGTGGCATAAAATGGTTCATCCATCAAACCTTTAGTGATGCTCAAGCACAACTTCAAGTTAGTTCTTTCAGTAAACATTATCAAAGCTGACAAGCAAAAATCAAAAAGCTTATGCTACTATTAGCAAGGAATTTGTCAAAGATGCATGTTACTAGCTGACAACTGAATACAGTGAATAAAATCAGATCTGATAAATTGGCAAACTACAGAAAAATGCATACTGGCCTATGTGAAAAAAGTGCATTACATCAAGTCTCAATTGTAAAGCAATGATTCCTTCAATATCATGTTTGTCAAGCTTAATGCTAGCTTTTTTCTTTCTTCATAATCTACCATTTCAATAGCACATCTTTACTTCTTTCCCAACAATGAATCATTTTCACATTTTCATATCAGAATGTGTTCACAACTGAAATATCAATAAACAAAAACCACATACAACATCTAACTAGTTTTGTAACATTTAAAGAGATTGTAACCTTTAAATATACATGACACAATAAAGTATACAATAAATATATTAAATACAAGATTTTTTTATGGTCTTCAATGCAGACAATAATTGAAATGCCAAAAATATGCAAAGTTCTTAAACAGCAACTAAAAGATATATCCGAGGTTAAAGAAAAATGGATCTGCGGGTCGGAAATCATTTAAAATGGCCTTTTAGTTTGTGAAAACTAAAACTCATTTGACAACGATATGCTTACAAGGAAAGCCTAGCAGATCCAATCAATTCATTTTTCTATTGAATATCCTGCTTTGCTCAGAAATACATATTATGAAAGTAAAAAAAGGTTGTGAACAGCAATTCTCTTTTAACTGTAAATAAAAAATTAAAAAAAACTTACACTGTGGTTTTGCTTGCTTGATTAAGAGGCTTCCATTGTAAATGCATTACTGTAAATGCAGTTTTTTTAACTGTATCACTGCTTGGGAGAAGCGGATAAGATAAATGTAGATAAAAAGTTCTTAAAAATATAATTTCAGTAGGGTTTGTCACAAGCAAACCCCTCTCTCCCTGTCCTGACTCTCAGAGTGTAAGATATAGAGTTGCAACTCTATATATGAAGTTTTTTCTGCATTGTTTGCATTTGCATTTCAGATATCAGCAGTCATTTCTGCTTCATTCAAGTATACTCTGTGTTTCTTTAATGTCACTGATCTTATGCTACGCTCTGTTATGGTAGAAAGAAATTGATCCTTTGAGGAATGGATTTGCAGCCCTGTGCAGAGAAGAGTTTCTCCTCTTTAGGAACGTACAGCATGGCTTTAGCCACTTCATCCAGCGTCCCCTCATCCGGCTGAAGGCCACGAGCTGCGTATGCATCACGTGCACACAGTTTCACATGCCGGTACTCCAGCGGCAAGAATGGTACAAAGAAGTCAATCAGATGTCCTGACATGAGCTCGCTCTGAGCAAAACCTCCTGCAAAGTTAAAAAGTAAATTGAGAACACGAATGATAACATTTATAGTGAAAACCACAGACTAAAGACATATAGGTGCATGTATGTATGAATTTAAATAGGCAACATCTCGGAGACATTTGTCAAACATTTAGCAATTCGATTTAAAAGAATGTTATGATATGGTTGACTGTGTGCTGGTACCTTCTGCCTCCATGGCTTCAGCACGCAGAAGATGTTCTAAGTCTTCCATGCCGATATCTTCCCTATTCTGTCCTGAGTGCCAGAAATCCAGTGCCACCTCATTGATGGCACCACCACCGATATTGCTAAAGCATGACATTAAGGAAACAGCAATTCATTTTTAGTTGTTTAATTGGATCATTTTCAGATTCTGCATGCATTCTGTAAGTAAACCTACAGTATATGTTCAGAGGAAAACATTACTTAAGAACTCCAACACAAATGTGTTCACTTGGCATTACTTATGGCTGTATGAAGCCATCTGTTAAGAACATACCAACCTTAAGAACAGAAATATGGCTTTCCTATAGCTGACCCCATCCACATTATCATAGTGGTCCATATAGGGCTTTATGGCGTCGATGAGTCCTGGATGAAGCTTTTCTGCCTCATCAAAGATAAAGAGAGTCTGTGGGCATCGCAGGACCATGTCTCGAATGGCTTCTCTTAGCTGGCCCTGGTCGCAAACAAACCCACACAAATACTAATACTGATCGTAAAGTTCAGGATTCACTAACACATACGTGCATATTTCAGAATTTGGAAAGAAATCAATCAATTGTACACAGCGTAATTTCTCTGTTCACTGAATCAGGTTTTCTAACTGAACTATCCAAGTATATCAAGGTTCAATTGCATAATCATACCACAAAGCTTTGGCATTTAATGTCAGTCGTCCAATAAATGTTCCAGAGAAGCCCAAATAAAGTGATTGTATTGGACCCCTGCCTACGTGAACTGCATTGGATTTAGTTTTTCCAAGCTAAATACATCCAAGCAGATGAATTATAGTACAAATAGCAAATATTATACTAATGTGTAACATTACAATGTAACCAAATACTTATAATTTGTTTGTAAAAGGTAAACTAAATCAACAAATGATGGCTGAATCAGATCAAATGACCTGGGCAGCCATGTGGATGTTAACCGTTGAAACTTTGCTCACCTTGTACACATCCACCAATCTCTCGTGAGGGAAGTGGAAAGGGGCAATGAACAAACGCACACATTCACTCTTTATACCATCCCGGTACAGGTTGTCCGCTACTATCCGGGCCACAAAGTTCTTGCCTGTTCCAGACCAGCCATGAAAGGACAGAGTCAGTGGTTTGTTGGACTCGGGGTTTTTGATGAAGCCTTGGATGGCTTTCAGAATCACAGACTGGGCCAGGTGCTGCCCATGGAGCTTCATCTGTAGATCTCTTTCCAATCCTGAAATAATCATTGATAAGCATATGTCAAGGAAAAAAAAGAGAGAGAAATTCATTTCAAAATATGTTCAGACTATTCCATGATTTTTGTAAAAATTTTCTGATATTTCAAGAATGTAAAATATTTGTATTAAATAATGTATGCATGATGTTGATGGCTGGCTCTACCTGTGATATTATTTGTAATCCTACAGTCTCCTGAATCACAGCACTGACCCAGGCTGCAGTACCAAGCAGTCAGCATGCCAGTGTAGTACTGGGGAAACCCTGACCAAATGTCCCCAGTAGGCACTGAGAAGAGAAGCGTTACATAAACCTGCAGTGAGTTACATTACAATCGCCCCCTCTCAAATGTTTAAAGAATGTTTGTTTTGTTTATTTTATGTAGAGACATGGACATTTATGCATGATGGAGATGTGATTGGTAAAGTGTATATTTTGTCATATGCATTTTATTGTTCCCCATTTGAGTGTGTAAATTGATAGTTCAATAAAAAAAATAAAATTACAATCGCCATTTTTTGCCATTCTTTAAGGAGAGCCTCGGAAAAGTTTATCCAAATCAACTTAAAATGCATTATTTTTTTTTATTGTTAACCATATAGATTTCATTATTTATTAGTAATCAAATCACAGATAATCATTGTTTGAATTTTTTTTAAAACGCATTCATGAAAATCTAATTTGCATAAAAAATAACGCGACACGTTGGTTATCCATTCCAATTTTACATTTTATGTAAAATATATATAGTCCGTTTATATTATAAACATTTTACTATAGCATATATTAAAATATATATAGCCTATTCTATCTTTACCTTGTTGGGCCGCATCATCCTGGTGTGGTTGACAGTCTCCTTCCCAAATATTGCAATAGATGTAATTGAAATAATAGGTAGAAACATTTGAAATGCTGTCGAACTGGAAAAAATCCGCATCAGCCGAAACAGCCAGGAATGAGAGCAAGATTACGATTGAAAACATCGGAGCCGCCGGAAACATAGATCTTGCAAAGACTGTAACATTGAGCTAGCCCATTAGATGTAATAATTGTAGCGTGCATTCATATGTACATCCAAGACTCATTGAGTGCAGGCCGCATCAGCGCTCAATGCTCAGAACTGAAACCCGCTGGTTACGGTCTTCCAGGGACAGTATAATGAGCGGATAGACAAACGAGGTAGAAAATGGGCGGGGCTTAGCGCAGTAAAAAGGGGTCTGCTACTGCCATCACCAAACCAATGGCTATTAAAAATAACTACTAAAATTAAAACATGAAATATCATCCGAGTCATTTAGATTTACCTTCATGGAGTAGCACAGACGTGGTCATGTGGCAACAGCTCATTGACCAATCGCAAAGAACTTTATGGGAGGTAACATTTTCATAAGGCATCACCGCTCCTGTAGACCCAATGTTGGCTACTGAACTAAACCTTTCAAAATCAGGCAGACCAAGTGTAAATGCTCCGTCCCACGAAGATGCTGCTATTCCAACTACTGAGAAGGTGGCACTTACTATGGAAACCCATTTCTGTCACCGAATTATGCTCCTGTAAATCTTATCAAATTAAACACATGGGAAATGACAACTTCGAGTCAACTTACAAGTCCTGTCGCGACTTAAGCCAGTTTTGAGCTGCAAGGGACATGTAAGAAATTTGCTTCCATAGCTTAGGTTTAATTAATCAGTGCTCAACATTAAACTATAAAAACAGATCATATTGCATGCTACTAAATATCTAAAAGGCTTGTTTAACTAGTCCTTGATAAAGTCAATTAACCAACCCAGATACAATCATACATCAAACACGCCTTTGATTTTAGGACTTTATTGAAGTAATGCGTAGCTGCAACGTAGTGCTGTTGAAAATGGTAGTCAAAAATGCAGTTGTAACGTAGACGACAGCTTTGAAAAGGTCACTTAATTGCTCAAAAAGACCAGTGACTTCAAATCAGAAAGCGATAAAAGAATCGAAGCTCTCTGGAACATCATTCAGAAGAGTCAGATGCAGGTAAAACCGTCCTACAAGGGAAGAAAAGAGACTTTAGAAGAGCACAAGTGCAAATATCAAGGTTAAAAGTAGTCTTAAGTCAACCTCAGATATATGGAACGGTAAAAATATATAATCAGCAAATTCATTTGGCAGAATCATGTCATCACAGGTTGTAAGAAACTGAAAGAAAACGGTCACAAGCATACCATATGGTTTTTCCAGAGCCATCCTGGATAATCTTGAGCTCCCTAAGAGACTGCCATTGGTTAGTTGGTCACAATCAACACGTTGCCCCAATCCAGGACCTGGGTTTAGGTCAAAGACACATTGTGTGTTCAGGTCAAACATTTGGAAAGCATCATAAAACCCAACTACAAGATACTGGAAAGTCTGCAAACAAAAACCAACCTTAAACACACGCCGCATTCATATTCACATGGCACAAAGGAGCAGTCACCACTGCACCTGTCAATAAGCACACACACCCACCTGTTAGAACAGAAAACATCCATGAGGACCAGGATTTTAACATGTGACCTGATCAGCCAGAGCTAATATCCAACCTCCATGTCAAAAGTCAGTGGACATCAGATTCATCACAATGGTCAGAGCTACAGATTTACAACTACAAAAAGACAACACTTACAGTGACTGCCATCAGCACATCATGCTGGTCATCAGTCCTAAGAGACAAAAGGACAAATTAAACTCCCCATCCTGCTTTTAAGGAGTTAAAACGCACAATTACGTGGTCTTAAGTCAGAAAGTTTTAACATGTCCTCAAAAAGATCAGAGACCTGATTCAAACTCATCAGTTTGAGACCATCTTGGTACCAGTCACAACTAGGGATGTTCATTTTAACTGTATAATCAGTTAACTGACTGATTAATACAATAAGTTTAACCATTTAAAAAGTCATTTAAATTCAGTAACTTACCCATTAAAAAAAAAAAAAAAGTTTGCAGCATGGTTAAAATACGCTACGAGTTTATATTTATTTGTGCTTTTGTAAAATAAGCCTAAAGAAAAATAGGATGCCGCTTTCTGCCGTCGGTTTCCTGTCGCACAACAAAATTGAACTGAAACTCTGCATACTAGGCTACTTGTTGCACGGTTTCTCATTTTTTAAAATGGAACTATTTCTCATACACATTTATTTGTTTGCTGCTTTGGGCATGTAAAAATTAATCCCCGGGGAACAAATGTTTTTTTTTATTAAACTGGTCAGACACTTATCCTTTCCAATTTAATAATCTTGTCAGTTAACAGTTAAAGGGTTGTTCACCCAAAAATGAAAATTAGCTTGTGTTTTACTTCACCCCCCTGAAGCTAATTTTCATTCGGTTTCCCTTTAACAAATGGTTAATGAGCATCAGTTAGGGAAAAAAAAACTAAACAAAATGAACATCCCTAGTCACAACTCAAGTTAACCACTTACCCTGAAGAACAATCAGACAGCTACTGATCTTTCCACAGCCAGAATTACAGTAAAAGCTGCAACGAGGAAAATCAAAAGTTACACCATTGCCAAATTAAAAATGTTTTTGATTAAAACCTCAAGCTCACCAATCATGTTTGAATCCCTGTAGAACTCATGCTGCAAAGAGAAACAAGTGTAAGACAAAGCAACTACTAAGATACAGAAAGAGAACACCAGAGATGCATCAGCTAGGAGCGAAAGACAATGCTTAGCATTCTTCATGGATTTTCTGCTGAACTATGCAGTCATCACTTGCACCACAGAAATTTTAGTAAAAATCCAAAAAGTAATACCATGCTCAGCTGAACGCATCTTCACATCTCTTCCACCAACATCTTTAACAACCTGTAATGAAACGCCGTTAGTACAGAACAAAAGGCAAAGAGGATAAGGTCTTAAACTAGCACTGTTTCAGTACACAGATGTCTTTCAGTCTAAATTCAGAGAGATTCCCATTGTTTTATAAAACAATCATCATAAACAGAATGACTGCTGCCTAGCAGGCACTTTTAAAAGCTTACCGTTCAAATCAACTGCACATGCTCCTAAGAAAAAAAAAAAAAAGGGGGGGGGCAAATTTTAACAAGAGCACACCTGCAATAGGCGTATGATATTCAAACACCGTGCATCAGATAAGAACTTGGTGGTTGCAGTTTCGTCAGCGTAAACTCAAGAGTAGCAAATACTATCATCATACACACTTATTTTCATTAAAGCATGACACATAAAATATATACCTTTCACACAGCGTTCCAGATTCACATTCCTGCAAGCATTAAACACAACTAGTTTAAATGGGAACAATAATAATAAAAATAAAAAAACCTTACAATGCCTCAGGAAAAAAAAAAAAGTTCTCAGAAATCACTCCTGTCCACTACTCTTATTTCTTTTTTTTATTATTCATAAGCAGAGTATTCAAAATGCATTTAAAACCAGACTCGTGGCATATACCTGTTGTCACCCTTTAATCAAAGGCCTCAAAGCATTAGACCTGGAAATAAAAATATAGAAATAATTAACACAAGTTTACAAAAGACTAGGCCAAGCATTAAAAACAACTAGTTTAAATGGGAACAATAATAATAAAAATAAAAAACCTTACAATGCCTCAGGAAAAAAAAAAAGTTCTCAGAAATCACTCCTGTCCACTACTCTTATTTCTTTTTTTTATTCATCATAAGCAGAGTATTCAAAATGCATTTAAAACCAGACTCGTGGCATATACCTGTTGTCACCCTTTAATCAAAGGCCTCAAAGCATTAGACCTGGAAATAAAAATATAGAAATAATTAACACAAGTTTACAAAAGACTAGGCACGCGCACACAACCGTTTTACTTGTCAGAGATGTTGGCTCATCAAATACTCAGATGTCCCTACAAACATCACTTAAATCATCATACAAGCAAACAGATTATAGGCTTATGAACTAAACATGGACAAATTAAGTGTTAGTCAAGTAATTGACTAGTTAAATTTATTCCATCTCAGAGAGAGAGAGAAAAAAAATACCTTGGACACTACTCTAGATGCACCCCAGTCTCCTGCAAGCAAAGAAAAAAAGCGGATTATAACGCTGAAACGTCAATTACATCCTCAATTAAAAACCTCAATGCCTCAGTGTAAAAATTCTCAGAAATCACTCCTGTCCACTACTCTTATTTCTTTTTTTATTCATCATAAGCAACGTATTCAAAATGCATTTAAAACTAGACTTCTGGTATATACACCTTATGTCACCCTTTATCAGAGGCCTCAAAGCATTAGACCTGGAAATAAAGAAAATAGATTAACAAAAATTCGCTACAACACATACCACGTTGACCAATATTGAATTAAACGTGAATTGGTTTAGTCAAGTTAATATTAAAACCTTTGTCAAAACTTAAAGCATATTAGCAAAGATAATTTAGTTACAATAAGCATATCAACGTTCATTCGAGGCCTATACACGTGGACCGCACTTCAAATGAGCGACTCCTTTTCCAGAATTTAATTAAAGCAACCCAATAAAAACACAACTTCTTAAGGCAGTTACACAACAAATATCTACATTACAGAAAAACACCAACAATAATAAATATAATTCTGATTTCAGAATTCAACACGAGTTGGTTGGTTTGGGTAAAAGCTGAAGCATGTTTGGAGAAAATGAATTTGAAAAACTGTCAGGCACTGTTGGGCTCTTTAAACATCCAGCTATGTGCATCATGGGTAACGTTCAGTGTAAGAACATGCTGCTTAAAAGCAACAGGAACCAATTAAGGACCATTTATCAGAGTCATATTTCAAGGTCATTATTTCTCACAGCACATTTCCCCTTCACATATGTGTGTACTTAAGCACACTCACTCTTGTCTCCCATTGCATTTCCTTCTCCTTCCTTTCTCTGGCCTCCGCTCTCTGTTTCTCCTCCAGCCTGTGTTTGGCTTCCGTCGCAGCATCAATGTCCTTCAGTTTCAGGTTCGTTGTCACGTCCTTCCACAAACTGACAGCCAGACAGAAAAAATAACAGTGGTCTGCATCAGATCATCTCACAAAGGTACCCAAGCAGAAACAAAAAACATCACTTTAGCAGGTCCCCAGAGAAGCCGGCACAAAAATAACCAAGCATTTTGAGTCTGTCTGATTTCAGAATTCAACACGAGTTGGTTGGTTTGGGTAAAAGCTGAAGCATGTTTGGAGAAAATGAATTTGAAAAACTGTCAGGCACTGTTGGGCTCTTTAAACATCCAGCTATGTGCCTCATGGGTAACGTTCAGTGTAAGAACATGCTGCTTAAAAGCAACAGGAACCAATTAAGGACCATTTATCAGAGTCATATTTCAATGTCATTATTTCTCACAGCACATTTCCCCTTCACATATGTGTGTACTTAAGCACACTCACTCTTGTCTCCCATTGCATTTCCTTCTCCTTCCTTTCTCTGGCCTCCGCTCTCTGTTTCTCCTCCAGCCTGTGTTTGGCTTCCGTCGCAGCATCAATGTCCTTCAGTTTCAGGTTCGTTGTCACGTCCTTCCACAAACTGACAGCCAGACAGAAAAAATAACAGTGGTCTGCATCAGATCATCTCACAAAGGTACCCAAGCAGAAACAAAAAACATCACTTTAGCAGGTCCCCAGAGAAGCCGGCACAAAAATAACCAAGCATTTTGAAGATCATCAAATAAGTCGGGTTCAAACAAAACTGAACTGGGAATTAAATACTGTGTGTTCCAAAAGTCCACTAGTCAAAATGCTTGTACTTGGAATTTTCCCATTGCAAATTATATTATCAGCATAACTATTTGAGTATTAAGTTGAAGATTAATTAGAAAATTTCTTTGTATTTGGTTTGTTCATCTTTTGCTTTGATGGCAACAACACTAGGGCTGTGAATCTTTGGGTAGACAGCGAATCGATTCGATTCACAGGTTTTCAAGTCGATTCAAGAACGATTTTTGCAAATTCACAACGATTCTATTCGATTCAATTCACAATTTGATAAACAACTCGATTTTGCATTCTTTAAGTGCATTTACAGGATTATTTAAATGCTTCCCCTAAATTCTTTAAATGCTTAGTCAGGGGGTAAATTACACAGCAGCCTTTATGGTTACAAAACCATAAGTAAAAAAAATAAAAATAAAAAAAAAACACTTTTGTCTATTGCTAGATGCTAGTTTAATGATGCTATGGCATGACATGGCATATGTAGAAATTTATGTAAGCCAAGATTTTAAAAAGAGCTTTAAATATATTATGTATTAGGCTAACATTTTGTCACACCAGGGGCGTAGCCATCATTTCAGAAGTGACAGAAATGTCAAATACAATAATTTTATGTATGCATGTAGTATTATTATTATTTTTTTTACAAGGAATTATTTTCTTATTGCTCACTTTGAATTTGCTATAAGAAATTAAATACACTGCTGGACAATAATCAATCATTTGTAATCTATAATTTTGTCATAATGGCAATTTTATTATTGTTTTATATACTACAAACAATTATTTCCATTTTTTGCACAGAATAAGGTAAAAAAATATATACTTTATAGTTTCTGTAGGCTACTGTAATAAATTATATGTCAATTAGCACTGCATCATTCATAAATTGTATTTATTTATTTATTGTGTTTATTGTCTTAATGTTTCAGTTCATTCTGCTTTTTATACAGTTTAGCACAGATATAGGCACGTCTATGAGCGCGAGATCACTTCTCTTTCAGTGCGAAAACTTCTTTATCTCATTTTCATAAAATAAAATGCTATAGTATTTAACTTTTCCTCTCCATCGGCGAATGATAATTCTGAAAGAAAACGCGCCCGATGTCTGTTTACTAAAGCATTAGTAATAATTTAGATTATCAGATAAACCTTGCGCTCTTATTTCAAGGTTGTTGTTAATGCTGTGGTTATTTTAACAGCTTCCTTCGTACATTCGGTTGAAGGACATTGTTAAAACACATTTATCATTCAATGGAACTGTGCGTATGTTTTAGACACTTCAATTTTTGCTCCGTCCATGCAATAAATGCGCAGCCTTCGACTGCTCTGGTAATGTCGTCGTCGGTATGACCGAGAGCCATTGAAAAACTACAGAAAAGCAAAACTAATTCACTTTAGCATTACTGGCCACGAGAACTAAGGAGAGATCACACATCAGCTGCTGAGCGCGAGCGCAATCCTGTGACAGTCACAGGTGGTAAATAGTGGAACGCATGAAGGAGAGATGCGAGGCACCAACACTGTTCAAGGTCTCCATTAATTTGTGCTTGTAGTAATTTAATGTGTATATATTATGAAAGCATTGAATCGCTAAAGAAATCGCGATTCATTCGATTCTTAGCGTTTTAAATCGATTACTGTCCGAAATCTACGATTCACGATTCAAAAATACATGTTTCAAGATTGATGCATTGCATCGTCAGGGTTTGTAATCGATGCATTGAGAAAACGAGTGAATCGTTACACCCCTAAACAACACTCAAGCTGCATGATTCAATGAGAATCTTGAGCCTTAATGGAAGCAAGAACATTTGACCGTCTGTACAAATAAGTTCACAAGATCAATGACACAAATGTATGAATCTGATTTGTGACCTAGTAGTAGAACAGAACCTGAAATATTTATTTTGAATTATGTAATAAAATATTTAAAAAAAAATTGCGAAATCCTAAAACTATTATAAACTTTGTTCATACCCAGATTTAATGGAAATTTCAACTGCAGATTTTCAATGTGGACTTTCCAAATCACTTTAAAAACCCTCCCAGATTAAATGGGAAAATAAGACTCATTCGGTAATACAAATTAGATTTAAGAACCTGAGGGATTAAACCTCATTCTTAAAAACAAAAAATTCAAATGGGTTTTTAAGGCTGGTTTCCCCATGACTTGTCAAGGAGGCAAGTCCAAGATTAAAAAGTGTTTGAATCGGCACTGTAGCTTGAGAGAAAATGGACTTTGGAGATGTTTCACATTACGGCAAACCTGTTTCAGAGGCTCTATGAAGAAAACAACATTTAGAAAGCAGAGAGAGAAAAAAAAAACTGGTCAGAAAACGCAGACCTACACACCTTCTGGATTCATACTCCAACTGGTCCTCCAATTTCCGCACCTTCTTCTTAACAATGCCAATTTTCTTTGTGTCAATAAATAGTGCATTTTCCTGGGAGGAAAACAAATATGTTCAAATGTATTCTTGAATGTACTTTCTTTTCTTGTTTTTTAGTGATCAAACTTACCCCTGTAGCCCACTTTGCATACATCACACCATTCCACTCTCCCTCTATGGAGCAGAATGACTTCTTATCACTGGGAGCACTAAAAAGGACAACATTATGAGGATTTTATTACATACTCTCATGTGACAGTAATCTTAACGCACTTGCATATACATTTCTTTGCATGAATTTACTGTAATAACGAAAGAAAAGTCATCTCATGGATTAATGAAGTGACATTTATTTACTTAAAATCTTTTGACTCAAGTGCTGCTTTAAAAGTGATTTTTATGAATGAATTTATACAGTATCACTTTGACTTACAATATCTCAGCAGTTATCCTGTGCTTCTTTCCTCCATAGAACGGTTTGGTGTGGAAAACTATATTGGCACTGTAGCCAGATTTGGAACAGGAAATATTGCACTCTCCACCCAGCTCAACCCATGGAACAGTGAGGATTGACCTATTGGGAGCACAGTGAGATGGATGAGACGCTCCGTCCACTTCCCCCTCTAGAAATCTAAACATCTAAAATACATCAGTGTGATAAAGTGATAAAACAGAACAATGCTTACCTCCCGTAGCCATTGGGAAAAGTAAGAATATAGTGCTCATCATATTCAAGACAAGACACACAACCTACGGTAGACAGGAGAGGACAATTAAGCACCGCAATAGCACTAATGTATATTAATCACCACTTTACAATGTCCTTGATTACCTTGACCAATATTATGAACACCAATAGACATTCCAAGGAACTTCGATTTGGTCCAGATGTGGGCGTTGAACTGGATTTTCTTGCTGAAACACTCAGCATAAAACGCAGATACTGCAGAAGGACAAAGGTGACAGAATATGTCCATTTACCCAAAAATCACAACAGATTATTGCACTAACATTATAAAATTTAAATGACTTTAATAAATAAAATCATTAATTAAACAACTGGAATTATTTGACTTTTGACTGTTTATTTTAAACAAGTTTAATAAATAAATTACTAATTAAACAAATAATTATTTTACTTTTCAGTACCAGCAACAGATAATTGAGGTAATTTCTGGTAACTTGTGTAAGGTCCACCCAATTGGCCCAATGGTGGCTGAAGGTTTCCTTCGTGTTCTGTCTTTTCGGTGTGTGCAAAGTAATTTAATTTCAATTAAATTCTAATCTGACTCCATTTGATTATGACCTCGAATTTAGGTTAAAATGCAAATTTCTTTCTTTTTTTTTTTATTAATTTATCCATTCTGTTTGTCAATTTCTAAACATTATTCTGACACTTGATTATTTTAGTTAACTCTTTGCTCTTATTGTGCTCATTCATTCAGATTATCATGTCTCTCAGAGATGTCACACCGGCTGTTAGTGGGCCATGGTTATTAGACATAGGTAACGGCCACCCCTATGCTTGCTCATTCTAAAAGTACTTATGTTAAGTCCCTATAGATCTGTACACACTTGAATAAAGCAACATTATCTCTAGTCAGAGGTCACGACCACTGCTATGATATAAGCCGAACAACATTACTTTCTCTGATAGTAGCTTTGGTTTGGTCGTGCCATGGTTTCACAAGTACACTTATCTAGAGTAACATTACAGTAAACAAGAGGTTAGGCCCACCCTATTCAGGTTGGTCAAACAACATGCAGTTGACCTAAATGGAAATTCCCTTTTAGCCCTTACATTCTAAGTACACTTGAACTAATACCAAGTGTTAGCCGGATCACTAAAGATCCAGTTGGTGTGCCCTATGCTCCATCTCAACTAGATTTTAGTCCGTTACTAACCTGACGCAGAAATGCGGTAACAGGATAAAACGTAATCTACTACAGTCAATAATCTCACAGTAAACCGAATCAATTCAAATGTAACAATTTATTATCAGTAAGGTAAATATGTATTATGCCAATTACATAGATATCAAATCAAATCAATACAAGACATCAAATTCTCAAAGATAAATTTAAGAGTAAAAGATGCATACCTGACTTCAAAAAATATATAGTATGGAGTGTATATACACACACTCCACACTACGAGCTCATCTGACTACAGGAAGCCCTGAGCTTCTTGCAACATTTCCTTAAGTACTCAGACCAAGACAAACATCCCCCAAATGGAGACAGGATCTAACAATTGGAATGTGCATTGATCAAGTCCTAGATGTGGAAAGTTTACACCTTTTGGGGACAGATGGTAATTTGCATGAAAGACACTGGGAAATGGCACACCCTCAACAGTAAACACATTAAACTCGTAGGATCTGTATTTCCTTTTAGTCTACTACTTGTAAGATTGAGACCATTGTACCAGTCGCCCGGAGATAATTCAAATGATGATAAAATTATATGATGTTTTTGACCATTCTGAGTGAGCTGAGTGAAAGAAAGGATGGGTGAGAGGAAGGACGTGGATGAAAAGGATAGGGGAGAAAGGGGTTTGAGGTTCTTCAAGTCTAACACTTGTAAATTGGATCCATTTTCTTCTACTGGTGGTTATGATAAATTTAATTTAATTAGTTTGGCATACTCAGGGATAAAGTTAGTAACTAGTTAGTTGAGCACTTACTAGGAGGGTGGTGAGAAACCTGCTCTGCCACAAATGACACACTGTTTTTGCTACTCCACGGCAATGGCCCATCAGATACAGACTCCTAGAAAGACAGACAGTGAGTGATGGATAAGAAAAATGATAATACATGGAGTGGCAACAAATAAAATCTGTAATAGAAGATACTGCAAGCTTTGGCTTTTTTAGACCTTCAAACCTACACTCACAGAAGGAGCAGGATCCTCTGTTTCGGGCAGGTCCCAGTGACAGAAGAACACCTCACCCAGAATGGGGTTGTAGGGCTTCTTGGCCACAGATCCTTTCCGACCAGCGTGAAAGGCTGAGAGGTACCACTTTACCACCTGCACCATGCGGTCCCTTGGATCCTGCTGCTCCGCAATACTGCAAAATGTGCCAATCACGAGTTCATTAAAATGAACTGTTTGAACAAATCAACTTAGAATGAATCACACTTCTATTTCAGACAGCAAAGATATCCTAGCATAGCATGTTTGATTATTGCCTCAGCTCATTTGATTGCAAAGCTGCATGAGATATATAATAAAATAGCAATGCAATATTCTGTCAACAGTTAATTACTAGAACAGTACATTGGAAACAGCTCAGCTGCTGTCTGGCTACTCCGAAATGTAGTCAAGTTAGTAGCACTGCTACTTTTAAATTCATCAGTTATTACAGTACTGCTGTAATCAGACTTAAGAATGATAAGTCCATATGGTAGAACAGCTGTGAGATCTATAGACAAGACAGGACGAGCGTTACCTTACAAACAAATCCGGGTGAGCAAAGAAATCTGCATACATTTCCAGCAACGACCTCCGCTCCAAGATAAATGTCGGCAAGACAACCTGAGAAAGACAAAGATGGATTGAAAGGTAGAAATGACACACAAAAAAAAGAGGGAAAAAAAGAGATGGAAATGTGAAAAAGAGAAGGTTGTTTGTGTTTACCTTGGTGAGATCCATGCCCAGTCGCACTTGAGATAGCAGATGCATGATGACACTTGTGTGTTCTTCCACAGATTCACCCTCGCCATCATCATCTTTCTCATCATGACTGTCAAACTGATCTGAGAAAAACACACAGCAACCAATGAACTAAGCAAACAGTGAATGTGAAACACACAAGGTGAACTCAACTGCATTTCTTATTATCAGTGTTGGAAACACTTAATATTTTTTGTGAAAACCATAATACACTACCATTCAAAAGTTTGGGGCAAGTACTTTTATTCAGCAAGGATGCATTCAATTGATCTTTTTAAAGATGTCTGTCTTTTTAAAGACAGTAAAGACAATGATAATAATAAAAAAAAAAATTCAAATAAACAATTTCTATTAATCAAAGAATACTGAAAAAAAAAAATCCCATTTTTAAAGAAAATATTAATGGTCAAAAACAGTTTTCAACATTGATGATAATAATAACCATTATTAATATTTGAGCTCCTATAATAATTGCGCATCAAATCACATTAGACCGAGTTCTGCAGAACCAAATTTCAGTTTTACCATCACAGGAATAAATTACATTTTTAAATATATATATATATATAGTTATGCTAAATTGCAATAATATTTCACAATATTAATGTATTTACTGTATTTAAATAAATGCAACTTTGGTGAACATTAGAGACTTCTTTAAAAAAACACTGAAAAATCATAATTATTCTTAATAGATATTTAAATAATTAAATAATTATTATTATAATTCATCTTAATTATACTATACATATTGTTAGTTTTTGGATGGTGCTGGTGTTAAGTGTTAAAAGTGTGTTAAAATCTAAATATAAAAATAAACACAATATTTGCTCTGATTCATTTTGGGAAATTCAAACGTGAGGGATGTGCATGTGTGTGTTCTGTGTACCTGCATCAGTGGTGCCGTTCGACATGGAGGAGTTGATTGATTCGTTGGTGTCTGGCCGTTTTAGGGCTGTGCTATCGTCACTGTTCACAGCAGCGGATCTCTTCGGACTGCAGAGACACAAGAATATCACGTCAGCTTATTCCAGAATAAATTCTGTGGCAATGGAAGCTAGAGTTTGTGTGTGTAAGTGAGTCCATTCACTGTTTTAATTAGGTCAGTGTGTGTTTCTTTTTGTTTGCAGTAAATAGTGTGTGTGAGTGTTTTAAACTCCAAGCAGTACTGTTTTCACATAATGCAGTGTTACTTAATGTGCGTGTGGCCAGGTGCTACTATAATTTACTTGTGCAGCAGTACTTCAGTGAGTTTTAATTATACAGAAGTTTTTATGTTTCTGTTCATTACTTGCACTATTCTGTTTTTCGTGTGGTGTGGTATGTGTCTGTGTGTTTAACTCACTCTATGCAGTGTTTTGGTGAGGTGCTGCTATGATAAAACTCATCTGCGTCGTAAAACTCATCTTCACTGCTGGAATAGGAGAAGTCAGGGACACTGTGGGGTGGTATGTTCATGTGACTGGGCGAAGTCACGCTGCTGCTGGGAGCTGAAGGACCACTCCCTAAAACCACAGGAAGAAAATTAAATGAATACATGTGAGAATAAATGTAAGTGTGCAGAGGAACTATGACTAACCACACTCATTTAAGCAATACCATGGCCGGCAGTCAGTATATTTCAGATATGGGTTGAGGTTTTGTGCTTTTGAATAAGAGTCTGGCATGTGGGCTTCAAATAAATAGCATGGGTGATAAGCTCATATACATGCTTAGCATCTGCGACATTTGGCTCTCGAGTCAGGGGGGGCAAGAAAATTTTTATATATATATATGAAATAAATAAATAAATAAAAGCAAAATATTTTTTTTCTGATGTAAGCATCAAAACAATGCCCTACCGAATTGCAACGCATCAAAGCAGTCAATCCAACACAGTCAAGAATAACTTAAAGAGGTTGCCACTGTTTAGTAAACTGTGGACTAGCTTTGGCTCTTCCTGCCGACTTGAATGGTGATGCTTCCCGTTTGTCAGTTGATGGCCTTTCATTTTTAACCAGAAATGTGCATGCTGCTTTTCTGATGTTCACTGAAGTTTTCCGTGTCTTTTTCCTGTGTCACTTGATTTTGAATCGTTGTTACCAAAGGCAAGACACGTGAGGAAAAAATAAACGATCAGTTGTGGGACTATATTCTGTCATAAATCGCATACCATTCATTGCTGAATTTTCTACCGTCCGTTACTGGAAATGAAATGAAATTACTGGTTGTTTTATCCCGATCTCAATAAAGTTTACACACGCTTTTGGTCCGTGAATTAGATCTCGCTCGGGACGCGCGCTGTCTGTAGAGGTTTGGCCAGGACCGGTTCCAGAATTAAATCAACATATTTTATGTTCTGTCCATTGCCAATCACTGGTATTTCGAGAGTGAATCCCGCATAAATATGCGGATGTCATTCCCGAAACTTTGCAGGGTGTAGCCTATGTGTCTGAAAAACGAAAGTTTCATACAAATTATGAATGGATTATACCCTAGAAAGCGTACTCCCTTTATCACTAAAAAGCGTCACTCATCTTTGTTCATCGTGATCTTACAAAGTTCCGTTATAATCAATGAAGCTCTCTAAACTGCACAAAGAATCTCTTATTTACATCGCGTCTGCACTTAGTCATGAGATGATTCACGAGCGTGCAAAACTGCACTTAAAAACTGCGGCGCTTTCAGCGGTGAGTGAATTCTGACAAAACGTTTCTGATTGGCCATTGCGTCCAATTGGTTCCATTGCTCAACACTGCAAAATCACGTTGAGGATATTTAGCGCTTGATGATGCTTAGTAATACACTACATCCATAGCAGATCTCACAAGCAAAAGCTCTGGTTTTAAAAACTGCAAATATGTATGACTCCTTGTACAGTCCTAAACACACACACACACACACACACACGTGTATTTCAGAATAATCGTTGGACCAACAAAGCAACAGATTTTTAAAACTGATTTAAAACTGTATATGCCCACCCCTGACATCACTCTTCACTGGTTCATTTCAATTATGACACCAACAAAAACATAAGGTCATATTTTACATATTAACATTAATAAGGTATTATTTATGTACTACTTAGTATTATTGAAATGTAATGAAATTTTTTCATATATTTTAACTAATGTAATAAAATAAAAAGCATGTTTTATTAGATTTTCTATTTTTTATTTTATTTTAGAGTAATTGTGGATATTAACATATATAAAAAATCTTTAAAAAATGCTAGTATTTTAGCATTAAATAATGCTAAAATACTAGCATTTTATTAATTTCATTCATATTAATGAAAAATGTAATTACACATTCTAATTTAAAATGTAATAAAATAAAAAAGCATGTTTTATTAGACTTATTCTATTTTATTATTTTCATTTATGATTAGAGTATTAACATCTATAAAACATCTTTAAAAATCTAGTATTTTACTATTTATGCACTACTATATATAATATATAATAATAAACAATATTAATTACAAAAATGTTATTATGTTATACATTTTAATTTGAAATGTAATGAAAAAGCATGCATGTTTAGATTTTCTATTTTATTATTTTTATTTTATTATTAGAGTAATTGAGGACATTAACATCTATAAAAACATCTTTAAAACATCTTTCAAAAAGCTAGTAATTATTACACAATTGTGTGTAGTTCAGGAATGTAGCAACAAAACAGAAAATGGCTAGCAAGACAAAGCATGCATATTACTGTGATGCTGTCAGCCTAATAAATTAAACGTTTGGTTGTGTTGATAAGACAAAGACTGTTCAAATGCTCAAAAATGTCTAATGAAATCAGCCCTGCCTACAACGCAAGCACTTTCGGCATGAATATAAATGGAAACCCTGATTCACAGTCTGCCCTTTTGAGCTCTTGACTGTGTTTTATGCCTAGTTTCCTGCACTGCTGTCCAGAGCACTACCGATCGGCTGTGTTTTTGCTGAGCTCAGCTCTTCCTGCACTGCCTCAGCAGAAGCTGGACTTTCTGAGCCCCTGTACCCAGCACTAATGGACAGTCAGGGGAGAACAGACTGACTGCAGAGAGAACAGCACAGCCTGCATCCCCACTGCAGCGGAATACTGCTTCTGCTCACGTTGGATGAGTAGTAAGATTAGCTTCATCCTAAATACAGTGTTTTCTTCCAAAAACAACTGAGCTTCATTCTAAAATTAGATTAAGTCTAATGGTAATTTGTTGATCAGAATTTAAGCATCTGCATATATATAATAAATATAAACACATAACAATGCATAACATACACACATATAAATAACTGATATACACTTTCAAATCAGATTCAGTTACATTTAATGTGTTTACTTTGATGGCTGTCTGATTGCTGGTTCGTACCTGTGCTGTTGGGAGTGGGGGTCTGAAGGCTGCCCATCACCGTGACAACAGGGCCCATGGGTAATGAAGAAGGCCTCTGTTCAGTTTTACACACCTGAGCTCCATCTACAGATGAACACACACCCTTCATATGCCCTTGGCCCTTATAAATGCACACAAAATTTGCAAACCAAATCTAATTTCAGAGTTTCCAAATCAATGGACTACAAATGCCAAGAAGCCTTTAAAATAAGCGTAAAATATATACAACACTATTAAGGAATGAAACGGAGAAAGAGACAGAAAGCGAGAGAAAGACAGCTCACCTGTGGGCAGAGTGGTCTGTGTTGGCATGGCACTGACTACAGACGTGTTAAGAGGGGCAGGCTGGAATACCCCATCCACTGGGTTTATGGTGCTCTGCACAGAACAAGAGACATGATACAAAACACAGCTCTCACAGGAAAGCACGTTATAAATACACCCTCTCATAGGAGTTTTCAGTTTCATTGCCCAACCCAACTATCACAGAAATCCTCAGGGGAAACAAGGACTTGTGATATTCAGTTACTAGAACGGTTTAAAGGGATAGTTCACTCAAATATGACAATTCTGGCATCATTTACTTATCCTAATGTTGTTCTAAATCTGTATTAATTTTTTCTTCTATGGAAAACAAAAGATGGACGCTCTTTGGAAGTATAATGAACTTTCATTTCAGAGTGGCCAGGATACAATTTTTCCTTTTGTGTTCCACAGAAGAAAATCTGTGATACTGATTTCGAACAACACAAGAGTGAGTAAATGAAGTAAATGTTAAACTATCCCTTTAAGGTGCTGAATTTTTTTTTATATCTATTTGTAAGTGACATTCAGACATACAAGGTATATTTATTGAAAATAAAAATCTCCAGTTGACTCTTCAATGCTCTGATTTCCTACATGAAATAGTAAAAATATTGTTATTTATTGTTAAAGACAACATAAAATCATGAAATTAGCACCATTTACACTAACATTCAAAGGTCTGGGGTCAGTAAGACTATTTTTTTTCAGTAAGGCTGCATTAAATTTATGTCGTATGTCAATAAGATGTCATATAATGCAAGTTACATGCATTACCATGCTGTTTTAAACCTTTTTATGCGTCCACATTCTTTCTACACAGAGAGACAGAAATAGTCAATGACATTTTGATAATCAAGAGAAAGATCTGAAGTAAATCAGTGAATCCGATTCAGTGCTTTATAATACACTGTGTCCAAATGAGCAACCTCACAGCTGTGGCCCGCATCTGTCACACTGAATCTTTTCAATATACAAAAATCACTATGAGTCAATCTCTGCCTTATGGTAACTAAACACCGAGCATCTGTCAGTCGGCACAGACTCAGACACAAGGCTATTAATCTCTACACCCACGTCAACAAGAGCATCCCAAAATCCTGCATATCATTCACTAAATAGCCAAGGCAGAATGACAAATAATTTCTACCCAGCAGAGAAACACTGACGTCACAGGGCACAGAGGTGAGGTAACAATACCTGAAAAAACACAAGGGGGAAAAAAGGCATGCAGGGGAGTGAGTGAAATTAGTTTGGAGGGGCTTTTCTGGAATTCTGGAAAGGAATTTTAAAAGATTGTTGTTCTGAATAATCTGTTTCGTTGTACCACAACAGAGGCTGCTGCTCTTAATTAAAAGCCAATTGGAGCAATTAGAGCCCTGCAGCGAATACATAAACACTAGAATGAGATTAAATCAAGAGGCAGAGACACTCAGGTAATCACAGATTCAGAAGGAAGAAACTCAAGATTCCAAAAACAGAAGAATACAACATTTGGTTGAAGTCCTTAAATACCATTTGCATTTTCAACATTTCATGTTTAAAGATCTGCTATAATGCGCATAAAACATTATATACAGATTTTAGATTTGGCTTTTTTAGCCATATTCAACTCAAACTAAATCAGTCTGCGAGGTGCCTTAAACGCAGTTGGTGATTACGTCACTTCAGCACCAGTCTTGACGGTTATTGACCCAATGAGAGCCTCCGAGTAGGTCGTAATAGATCCGTATCCATTTGTCCTACATGGTTCAACAGCATGTATGACAACGGAAAATCAATGATTATTCTGCGTGCACATATGCGTGTCTTACGTTTGCAGGGTTTAAGCAGTTTGGTTCAATTATAATGATGGAAAGAAGTATTTGGGTTTCAATTTGTTGCAAATCATGACCATAGGAAAGGACAGGTCCAGAATTACCCGACAGGAAGTGTAAGAAAGAATGAAAGCAGAGAAAAAAAGAGAGAGATGTAGACGTGGTGGGCGGAGCCCTCCGATCAAGGTCATGCACATCTCGGTTCAGTTTAAAAAATGTGATTTCAGTGGAAGAGAGAACAGTAGCACTGTTTGATTTAGACTAGTTCATTGCTAAGGAATGTCAAAACTTACTATCAGTCCGTTTGTGTGTTGCTGTTCGTTACTTTGATCCTTCAAATTTTGAAAAAGAAAACACAAATTGAGAAATAAGGCAACTCCACAGTTGGGAGAAAGCCACAAAAGATGCAAATGGTCTCTGCTTTAATTTGAAGCAATAACAATGGTCACTCAAGGTATTTTAACCTACTGAATCTCTTAGGATATGTTCACACAGTCAGTGTTTGGGATTGTCAACTGTATTTATTTACTAACAGGTCCCCATTCATAGTAAAACATACAGGAGTCAAATAATTCATTGTAAATGAATTTGATACAAATTAGTCCAATCAAGGTCAAATTTTTAAGTCAATGTGAGCATAACCATACTTAGCACTGTAAAACAAGCCTGACAATCGTATTCTGCTGCTGTGTGAACATGGCCTTAGTGTAGGAGAATCACCTCTCCAAACCATTAATATGGTATCTGCTGGAATGTTCATAAGCCGGCCAAGATAAACATTAAAAGGGTTATGGAAAATTATAGGTTGGGTTGCACAAGACATAAATATTAACACAGTGAGCAGACAAAACACAGGTGCATAAACATTCTAAGCTTAAGAGACAAGCGTTTTACCTTGGCAATCTGTAGTAGTACGATACAGTGTTTGATGGACTCTACCATACTCTTAAAAAAAAAATAAAAAAAAGAACAACAAGAAATGAAAATACATTCCACTACCAAATTCAGATCTAAAATGCATTGAGAGGGTGAAGGTGCAGACACTCTTACACAAGTCGTGTCCTTCAGGTTCTCGATTTTCTGTGAATAGGACAATGACGAACAAGAAAAGGGACAGTTTCAGTTAGAATTGTGAAATGCCCTTGAATTAAAAACAAAGATGCACCTTTACAAAACCTAAAAAAAGCAGAAACGAAAGCCTGAGACCAAATGACAGTCTCATGAGTTTCATCCCCTAAAATAGGCTTAAAATGTGACTCTCGGTAAAAGCTTGGCTTCAAATTTGGTATTTGAAGTATCTTCAGAATTTCTCTGTGTGTGAACAATATACAATGCATTTACATTTTATTGCCGCTAACTGACCTCCCACCCTTTTCCATCTCCCCTCACTCACTGAGTGATTTGCATTTAGTGCCTGATTAGAAATATATGCAAAGAAATTAATTAATTTATTCTTAATAATGAAAATATATTAAATGTCTATTAAACTACATAATATATTGCCAAGGCTGAAAATGGACACATTTACCTTTCTTTGTGTTTTCAGTTAACAGCTTAACTTACTAGCTAAAACAAGATATCATAATATTGCACTATATTTTGATCAGGCATGACTTTACTCTGGCTCTTTTATTTAGAAGGGTGGGATGTCCTTCAATAGAGATGCCATATTGGGCATTCCAGTTTCTCACAATTATTGTAATACAAGTGGAATGTCTCTGCCATATACTGTGCCTAGCAGAAAGACTCTGACAGACGATGCATCTCTGATGACACAAATAAAAAAAGATCATGTCTTACTCTGCGCGACTCATCTTCCTTGCAGTCTTTAATCTTTTCATCGAAGAGCTAGAAGATGCAACAATAACAGGAATTAGACAGCAATGTATGTAAGAAAATTATATGTCAACTCTTTTGAGTCACGATGAGGTCTTATGATAAAATAGCCTTACTTTTAACTGGTCGATCAAAATCTGCAAATACGCATCAGCTTCAGCTAGCTTCTTGTCGAATTCCTGAACGCTGGGAACGAATCCTGTTTCTGCCTCCTGCAAGTGAAAGTGAGAGGGATCAGTTTCAGTCCTTCTCCAGTGTATAAAAGCTTCCATGGTGTCCTAAGCTCAGTCACGTTCTGCTTTCGAGAGGAACTGAGCAGAACCGCTCCCTGCTTCTTCACATTTCTCTCTATTAGCAACTTTAACTGAATTACACAATTAGACAACAGGCATAAACAGAGATCAGACCATGAGAGGGACTGATACTGAACTGCAGAATAAAGGCTACACGCTGTGTTTGGTTATTGATGGTTACTGATACTAGAAAGCAAAGAAATTTATAAAAAGTCACCACAAGCACCACAATGATGTAAGTTTCCGATCATTATCTTGTACAATAATATTTCTGATTCAAGCAATTCAAGGTTGAAAAAAAGAGAAAAAAAAAAACTTTGTTGTTTAAGATGATCAACAGACTTGTCATAACTGATATTCAGACCTGGACTTTAATGTTGATCATGATAACATACAATTAACCAAGATTTTTCATGGAATCATTTCAATTGTACTTACCCGAACAACTAAACTATGAGTTTTAAAACGGGTGCATTTTAAAATAAAATTAAATAAAATTAAAATTTTTGTTTAAAATAATTTGTCAACTGAATGTAATTTTATTTTCCTTTAAGGATATTGCAGATCAACAAATAACTACTTTTTAAAGCACATGGCTTTATGCTATGACACTTCTCCTATGAGGTCTGAAGTGCTTTCTAAACTCATAACACACAAATTCTGAGAATAAAACAAGACTAAAACCTTAAAACAGCTCCCTTATAACTAGAACAAGACATTTAAATATTATTACTGTAACACAGAAGTCGTCTGGCAACCTTATAAAAAAGGCAAACCAGAATTCCTTCTTCTATATGTAGCATAACCACAAATACAACCTTTAGCTATTCGAGACCTCTTCAGTTAAACTTTCAGACTAGCTTAAAGCTAATAGCAGCTAGCCCAAGTGGCTTTGAGGAGTGAAATTTAGATAGCACAGGCAATGTTGGCAGTAGCCTATACAAGAGAGGTACTCCCTGGTCTGGGGGTCACTGTCGTGAGCTCTGGGTCTTGCCGGCCTTCATGAAAGACCTCACGGTGGAGATTGGCCGAACTGAATTGCATAGGAAAATTAAGAAAAGCCATGGGCAGCTGACTGTCGGTCAAAATGGTAAACATTATTAAAATAGGTCAAAGTCTGCAGGAGCAGAGCAAATCCGCTCAGGATTCAAAGGTTAAGTGGAATATCAGTATGCATGTGATTCATTGAGTTAACTGCAAACACATAAATGTAGATGCACAATAAAAGATCTAATGAGAGATTTGCTGCTTTTAAAATAAACTAAAGATCAAGATCCCACTCTGAAGACATGGCCTGGTTGTACTAATCTACAGGTTATTTGTACTTCTGTCATGTAAGAATTATACGAGGGCTTTTATAAAGCACTCTGTCCTGCTAAAACGAACTTCCTAAACAATGACGGCAGGATTTATTAACAGCTGGAATGAAAGCCTAAAGCATTGTGACAACTCGTAACACAATTTGCAAATATACTTCACATTTTAAGCATTGCCACAAGAGCCATTATATCAGACAGATGGTCAGTTTTCTCTTTCAGGTCAACTATGGTCATGCCGGAGCAACAGTAGTGGATACAATAGCATATTATTATAGGGATTCGATATTGGAATAGCCTGCCGCAGTCATTAAGACAATCTTCCACTTATCATACTTTCAAAAATCACTTTAAAAAGTGGCTCATGACAAAACAGTCGTCTAACCATTTTAAGTAAATGTTTTTTATTTGGGGTATTTTGTTTCCTATGTGATGTTTGTATGTATATTTGAGTATGTGTTTTTGTGTGCACCTGCCTAGGGACTGCGGATGTAAATTAGCAATGTTGATAACCTAGCTTGTTTACATTCTGTATTTGATACAAATGTTCATTAACATGCATTGTCCCTATCAAATAAACAGACAAACAAACAAAGATGTTCAACAGGCTGCTTACCTTGCCAAGCATTGCTTTTGCGTACCTTTGCTAATACTACAGTATGTTTCTGGCAAACTAGCATCCTAACAGTTGTACTACTGCTCTTCTATGTGAAAAAACAAACAAATGGGACAATTTCTGGTTAAGGGACAAACAGATGTGTGATTTAACTGCTATATGTTAATATATCCGGCATACGATTTTATTGAAATGCATATTTCCTGGGAACTTACCCGCAATTCTCTAGTTAAGTATGCTTGGTCATATCCTACAGGCACCATAAACATCTCATCTCCCAGCAGCCCTGAGATCTGCTATTTTGGCATGAACAAATTGCCAAAATACCTCTTAACAAGCATTTGCGACCTCCAAGAGAGCATTACAATTATTTTTATCCTGTGCCTGGCATGAGAAAGCCATGGCACGCTGAGCTGTTAACACACAACTGAACACACAGATTCTCAAGACAGGAAGCTGATCCCATTGACTCACTCTTTCAGTCTGACTCATAGCAGAAAATCTGAACATCCAACACAACTGCAGAGAATATTTCAGTGAATCAACTAAGCCACCTGGGGTGTATAGGCTATCGTTCTGCCTTTTTAGGCAAAAAACACACCAGTGAGACACTTGAAAAGCAAACACACAAGTCTGAATTAAAGATATGTGCTCTATTATGTCAGCACAGACCGTACACACATGATGTGGCTGAGATTGCAAATCTCAAGTTAGTAGAAAAGTAACTACGCATTCAAGTATGACCCATGGCCTCTCTATTTGCACACGCAAATGCTTCCCTACCTTCGTGAACATACCCACCCACCCCTACCTGTCCACACTCACACACACACACAACACACAGCATGATTTAACGCATCAGTAAATTCCAACAAAGATACTCACTTGGTTCTTGCCACTGCAGGACATGCCTCCACAAATCTGACCCACACTCATAGAAACACTTTCAATATCAGTTGAAAAACACCCTTTCCTGTAAGTTCCTCCTCTAAAGGAGGGGCGAAAAAGGTGAACAAATACCTATTAGCTCGCCGGCTGATTCAGAGCAGTTCTATAAACCACTATTGACCAGGAACAGGAGACTTCCTCAAAAGAAAAAAAAAGAAGAAGAAAAAGTAGCATAAGCTCTACAGTCTGTAGAAAACACAATACAGTGCTGTGATTGGATCTGCCATCTGCTGCACGGGAGGGGCTGGCTGAATAAGCAAAGCTGTGATTGGCTGCTAGATATCATGTGACCGGATAGCTGCGCACATTCTGCGTGTAGGTACACGCAGCTGCCAGTCAGCAGGTTTAAAAAAATAAATAAATTTAAGTTAAGGTACAGAGGGAACAGATAGATCTTTGAGAGGATAGATTGAGGGAAAGAATACAGAGGGAGAGGAAGAAAGTAAGCATGAAAAATTCATACAATTATTTACAAGATGGGGAAAAAAAAACTAACTAAAGCTGCATGCTTTTCTCAGCCTGTCCTGGTTTCCTCCATTGGTACGGAGCAGGTGGGCATGTCTAGTGCATTCAATACACTCAGAGCTCCTCTTCAGGCCTTTTTTTTGTAGTTTTCAGATCATTAGAAAAGCAAATATTTCACATACTCTAATTAAAAACACATTATGCTTTCCTAATGACAGCCAATGGGAGGACACCCCTTTTTGTAAAATTAATTCAACATTTAAACTAATTTAAAATATATTTTTAATTGCAATAAACAATACTTGCAACAACAACAATAATAATAACAACTTTATACATGTGAGGACTATAGGTTAAAAAGATGTCACAAAAAAAAAATCATAAGGTCTTTATTTTATTTTAATTACACCTCTCCGAGATCATACCTGTAGTACATGAGGCCTTGATATGGCTCTTACCCGCTGAAGGGTGTGGCGAAGAATCGTCCCCTCTAAGGCATGAATCCACTTCTCCCGCTCATCTGCGTCACGGGCTGAAAGGGAAATATCCAAAAACACATCCATTAGTAATAAGCAGATGGACCACACACGTCATGTGAAATGGAGAGTGGAGAATGACCCTGCCATGGAGCTGTAAAAGTGACAGCGGTAACTACAGCTCTGTTGTCGAGTTTCACGAAGACAAGACAGGGTTGTGGTTTAAGTTAAACAGGAACACACACAAATGAAAGCCTCTGCCCTTGTGTAAATACGATTGGTAAATAACACTTGTGGCAGAGTTTCTTTAGAAAAGAAGGATGACATTTCAGAAAAGCCAAGGTCTGACTAAAAACACAGTCTCTGTGCTTCAAAAGATCTATAAATCAAGCATAAAACAATAAAGCCTACAGCATAAAATACAAGTAGGAGTTTCTAACAGTCAGGTCAACAAATTGATGTACCCTTAAAGGGATGGTTGGCCTGAAATAAAATTCTGTATTTGTTTACTCACCTTCATGTTGTTTAAAACACAATTTTATTAATTCCACTGAACTTTCTCATTGATGTTTTTACACACAATCAAACCTGATACATATAAGATTTATGAGCTTCAGTGAAGGAGATGGTTTTCAGTAAATAATGACTTAAATTCGGTCTGTATTTCAAACACAGCTACCATATGGCATCAGAAGACTTAAAATATAGAGCAACAGCTGTATGGACCACTTCTATGGTGCTTTAAGGAGCTCTAGAGCCACTGTTCACCATCCACTTCCACTGTATGTAAAAGACCAGTGTGAACCTTCCTCAAAACATATCTTTCTGTGCTCCACAGAAGAAAGAAATTCATAAAGCATCACATGGCATGAGGTAAATAGTCAGTTTAAAAAGTACTATAAGTAGGCCTGAGAAGTTACCACAATGTGTATAGACAGATATTAGCCAAAAACTCTCTCTCTCTCTCACTAACAGCCATTAGCCATTCATTTAACCATTCCCTCAGGGAACAGATGAGAAACAGCACTCCAAACATAACATATAGCATCTTCGATGGATGAGGGTCCAAAGCTTAGCAGAAAATCTAAAAGCTTTCAGAAGCACAAAGAAGATCTGACACATACAATCACAATTTACACATCCATGGAATCGGTTAATGATCTAATCTATACATCTGAACCAGAAATATCAACGATACAAATGGTTTAATATCTTCAAGAAAATAACTTAAATTTTTTTACCTGCTTATAAAATACAGTTAGTGTTTGCACAGGACCACCAAAGCCATCCTACATCTATGGAACATGCTTGAAATCAATGTCCCAGATCCGTGCGAGACTCACCGTCCAAAACAAACATGGCCCCTCCCTGCGCTACTGACACCGGAGCAGAGATCACATGACGCATGATGCCAGGCTACCTCCACTCGCTAGCCAATGAGATTTCACTAGGTGAGGTAAGTTGAGTTGATTACAAAACACTGCACTTGTCCGTTATTTGGCAATGAGGGCATACTAACATTGACCTAAAGACTACAGCAACAGCAAAACCCTGAGTAGAATAGGAAATAATTTTTTTTATAATAATTATTATTTTTATTAATAACAGCAATAAATTATACATGTACAATATATATTTAATAATATAAATTAAATTATAAACAATGTAATGCAATTATTATCAAAGAAATGGACACTTAAACTGCTGTTTACTTGAACTGAATGTTCTTTGAGCAAATGCATGAGAGCTAACTTATTTCATTACCTATTTTGCACAATTTAATTCAGTTTTTAGCTGCTCCCCTCCCCATCTCTACCCTATATACTGAAAGAAAGGTGGAGTGTGTCTCTGGAGAGCAATGGCGGACTTCAGTCTGGAACGAGGGCACCTTATGTAATGTGCCCTTCTAACGACACTCCAGCTGTATGCAAGAGAAAAAGAGAAACTTCAGCACTCAAACAAATTGTCCCATCATTTACACAAATCTTTTTAAACGTAGTGAACGTTAAAGACATTTCTGCTACACACTAGCAGCTGCTGTAAAACAGCAGGATGTTTTCACCAGACTTGTCACTAAGCTACTACAAGATGTTAAAGGATGGTGAAGTAAAGAGTAACAGTCGTAGGAGTCAAAAGAACGTGTGTGTGTGTGTGTGTTGGGGGTGCAATGATAATTAATTTTAAAAAAATCTGGCTGACACAAATAAATTATTTACATGTCATGGTCAATATTCAATACATGGTTGATATTAAAATTATATACACATTCAAAAGTTTGTGGTCTGAAAGATTTTTGTAAGAAAGTTTATTTTTGAAAGAAGTCTATTATGTTCAACAAGGCTGCATTTACTTGATCAGAAATAAAGTAAAAACATTAATATTGTGAAATATTATTACAATTTAAAATAACTGTTTTCTGCTGAATTTTCAGCAGCCATTACTCCAGTCTTCAATGTCACATAATCCTTCAGAAATCATTTTATGCTGATTTGGTGCTCATTTTGTTATCACAGCATTATCAATGTTTAAAACAACGGTGCTGCTTATTTTTCTATAAATGAATAGAAAGTTCAAAAGAACAGCATTTATTCAAAACAGAAACCTTTTAAAACAATGTAAAAGCCTTCACTGTAATTCTTGATCGATTTAATGCATCTTGGTTGAATAATAGCAAAAACAAAAACGCTAACTGCCCCCGAACTTAACTAATAAACAACACTAAAATAAACTTAAAAATTACTCAAGAGATTTATTATAATGTAACAGTATGAAAAAAAATGGACCCTAATGTTAATAGACCTGCTTTTAACATTGTTAAACTTAGTATTTCAAAGATTAACTTAAAGTGACTATTAGATGATGGAAATGGTCATCTAAATGTAAAAATAGGGGAAATATAATTAGATGTAGTACAGATTTATTGTGCATCCCTGGTGTGTGTCCATCTGTCCAGAAAACATAGTGAGCTGCCTTATATCTATAGTTTGAAAAAGCCTTTGTACTGGGAAAGAGCTTTAAAATGCTGCTTAGCTCAGTAGGTTTTGGAAGAGCGCACGTGTGTGAGTGTGCTCTCCTGCAGTCTCTACTAAACTCACTGCAGCTTCCATGTGACTCCCTGCATCTTTCCACTGCCAGCTCTATCCTGCGGAAACATGAGAGTTTGACGACAGAAAGAAAAACGCATACCAGTAGCTCATTCTTCCTCTATGCAACTGTTCCACTTCTTTTCTCCCTCTCTGTTATTTCTTTCCCCTCTGGAGCATGAATGTGCATGTTGATCCATTGCCAGTAGGAGCTCAGTGTATGACACTGGAAGCTTTTAACTGCTTTTTTTTGCAGTCAAGTGTCTGCGAGAAAGACAGGTAGAGGCTTTTAGAAAATAAAGGGGCTTTCAGGCCGGACTGATATTGGGCCACAGAGGAGTATGATGAATTATGGATGGCCCTCTAAATAGCAAGTACAGTTCCTCTGTGCCGTCTCTCTGGCCGACATTGTGCGAACCTCTCCATATATACCCGTCTTAACCGGTCAAACTCACCTAATTCTCAAATGTATCTTGCTGAGTGGGGAGGTTAACTATATTCTTACATTCACCGCTATGAAATTTCAAGCTCACGTGGCTTTTACTGTTCTGCGAGTGTTCTTTACACCATATTTTCATTTAGCAGGTTCATTTCTAGAACAAGGTTTTGTTCTTTCTATCCTGTAACATCTTAGCAGCATGTTTTTTGGTTTTAGCTCAGTGGGCAGCCTGCTACAATCCTGATGATGTTTCATGTTGAAAAGAAAAACAAAGCAGAGTTTTGCTTAAGTTTAACCTGAACACATCACACTTTATAAATCACTCCACCCTGCACTTACCACAAACACTGCAAAATCAGAACAACGTTTTAGGGTCGCCGTGATTTTGCCAAGTAAGACATGTTCCTGGATCAACATCTATTGTTGATCCTGGATCAACATAATTGTCCAAAAATATAGACTTAACCCATTCCCTACCCCTAAACCTAACCCTACCCATAATTTATTCCTAAAAACAGTGTGAAATGATAGCTGATTAACAAGGGTGTAGAAGTACCTCACCCTGATTGTAAGCCTAAAACAGATATTTCCTGAAAAGTTATCCCTCAATTCTGATTGGTTGATAGGAATGTTGTTCCAGGAACATGTTGTACTTGGTGAAATCACAGTCACCACGTTTTAGCATCGCAAAGCCAAACTTTAATAGACCGACATGCAAAAAAATGGTAATCTGTTCGAAGAAAAGCAAAGCCATTTGCAAACAGACCACACTATAGGAAACAGTAGAAGATCAGACAAATCCAGCATCTTTTATAGTAGTTGTTTATAATTTGATTAAATTTGATTACACACTACCATTCAAATGTTTTCGAAAGAAGCTTCTTATGTTCACCAAAGGTGCATTTATTTGACCAAAAATACAGTAAAAACTGTAATATTGTGAAATATTATTACAATTTAAAATAACAATTTTCTATTTGAATATATTATTCCAGTCTTCAGTGTCATATGCTCCTTCAGAAATCATTCTGATATGCTGATTTGGTGCTCAAAAAACATTTCTTATAGTATGAAAACAGTATTTTTGTAGAAACCATGATACATATTTTTAGGATTCTTTGATGAATAGAAAGTTCAAAAGAACAGCATTTACTTTAAATAAAGTATTTTGTATCATTATAAATGTCTTTACTGTCACTTTTGATCAAATTAATGTGTCATTGCTGAATAAAAGTTTATTAATTTCTTTCTTTCAAAAAACAAAAACATAACCTAACCCTAAAATTCTGAACAATAGTGTAAGTCGGGTCTTTGCACTGTAATGCAGAACCTCTGACACCACTTAAAGTACTGAAAAAATAGGAATATGATATTCCCTTTCAATGAATGTATTCTTCAGATTAATCAGTTATCAAAATAGCTGTTAGCTTCAGACCACCATACATCAGATACATCAGCTCTGTGAACAGACTCTGTACATGCCATCTGAAACTAGTAGGAATAATAATAACAACATTCAAATCTTCATTTGCTCATGTCTTCAACAAGATCTTTACTCAAGAATACACTATTCTGAACCCAATGTGGCACCTTGTGAAACTAAATACTCTAAAAAATAACTAAGATACAAGAAAATTGTGCTGTGATTCCGGTCGACTGATATCAGGAGGCACAAAACAATTTCTGCTGTGGGATAAATGGCTCCTGCTGAAATGGAGATATGAGAACTGATAGGATGAGTCCCTGAGGATCTCAAGAGGTGGATGGTATAAAAAGATTGTTGGAACTAAAGCCTGAGCTCCACACTCTGAAATACACACATGCAAACACACAACAGTAAATCTGGCATGGCATGTTTTTTTAAAAAGGCTTGGATTGGCATTCCATAGCACAACTGACAAACAATGCCAAAGCAGGTCGGTAATGAATTTTACTGGTGAAAGTGAAAATTAATAAAGAGAAAGAGAATAATCTTCATTCAGTCTATGTGAGGAAAGCTTAACCGCATGATGGAATGAGCCTAAAACGATCACTGATAAATAAAAAAAGTCACAATCTTAACATACTCAACATAGTGCCGCCAAGTACGTATTTTCAAATCCTACAACTCTGAGAACGAATAAAACGCTCAAAAAAGTTAATGCAACCAGCCAACTCCAGGTGTAAATAAAAACAAAGCATGGTTGAAACTAATCATTAATGCAAACCCAAATGATAAACAGTCACGGCAGAAGACGCAACCAGACGAGTCCCAGCTGAGCGTGACCTTACCCTTCTTACTGTAAAGCCACAGCATACAGTGTCGGAACATAGCAGTGGGTGAGGGCATGGGGAGAGTGAACGCACCCCTGGCAGGGCGGATGCCAGGGGGGGTGGAGGAAGACAGATGAGCCAGTGAGAAAAGGTGGAGGCTAGAGGCTAAAAACCTGGAGCTCAGCAGCCAGCAGCCTTGAGTAACTCTGCGGTGAAACTGTCTGTTCTACTCCGTTTCTCCAAGAGTTCTTCTAGCTCCAAGGAAATTCCTAGTAGATATTCAGCACGGATCCTGGAACAAAATCCAGCCTCTGATCTCAATTCATAAAACTACGAAATCTGCAGATCGTCCCGTCAATGGTTGCAAGAGATAAGCCGGACAAATGCACCAGGCCTAATGTCTGTATGGATTGTGTGCATGCAACTGATGCGAGTGGGTCGTGTTTGCATTAAAATTCTGGTTACTGATGTTATAATCTTCTTTAAAATCAAAATGAGAAAGAGCATGTGGGGGAGAATGAATAAGCAAGAGCAAAAATAAACAGAGTGGAAAGAGGAGAGGAGGGATGAGCAGTATGGAGTGTGTGAGAGAGAGAGAGAGAGAGAGAGAGAGAGAGAGAGAGAGAGAGAGAGAGAAAGAGAGAGAGACAGACAGACAGACGGGGCACACGTGAGCAGCCGGCTGATGGCCACACTATAAACACTGGTTAAAAGCATCACAGCAGGAGGTGCCAACAAACAGAAGATGAGAGAGGAGATGGACGAGACAAAAGCACTAGAAGAACGAGAGAATGGAGACCTCACCCTGAAAATGGAAAGTCTTCTGGTCCACGGTAATGGTGAAAGTGCTGTCGTCCTCGTCATCGATTCCAATCACAGCTCCCTGCAAAAAAGGAACGCAGCGAAAGCCATTCAGACTGAGGAACACGTCATTCGCTCCCTCTCTCTTTCTATCGGTTCCTCTGCTCCACTCCCTCACACACATGAGAAGAGAGAGAGAGAAAGAGAAGGAAAGGGGTGGGAGAGAATGGGTGGAGTAAGAGAAAGAGATGGGAACAAGGCAGAAAAGGGAGGAAAAAAATAAGAGAGAGAAAGGGGAAGCAAATGGAAACTGAAAAGGGAGGACGGAGAGAAAGAGTGAGGGAAAAACTGCAGCACATTCAGTATAACAGGACCAGAGGAAAAACATGCGACCATTAACTCTTTCACACCTGATGTACTACCACACCAGATTATCATTCACAAATCTAAAAGCCTTTCTAACATTATGAAACATTAAATAGAGCAGTTTGAAAACATGCCATGGTTTTGAGTAAGAAAATGCCGAAAATATGAAGCTTTTACTTAAAAATACAGATGTGCCAGGCAGTGCATTTACTGGTTACCGACAGGAAGACAGCAATAACTGCTCAGATCAGACCACAGGCCTTGAGAAAAATAAGCCAACGCCCTAAGCATTTTTAACGTCTGTCTTAGATTTAAATTTAGACTTAGACTTAAAATTAACTGCTCACTCTCAATCAATTTCTTATGATTATTTAAAGCTATGAAATACATTCACATTAAAGGAGATAAAAAAACTCTAACTAACACTTCATTTGCAATTTAATGGCAAGCTGTTTTCAGAGAAATTTCATCCATCTTCATCCTTTTGGCATACAGGAATTATGAACACTAAACCTGGTGATAATAACTTTTACTATCTCTGTATTTAAGCAGTTATCTACAACTAAAATACTCATAATACCATGCAGCTTTAGATTTAACACATTAATTCTACTCTGTAGCTATATTATAACAATTCTTCCCTGCAATAAATGTACATATTTCATAACTGTCCTCTGCATTTTAAAGTGAAGAGTGCGCCATCTGCTGGTGAAGAGTTTTCACAGCTTTGTTTTAAAGGGGTCCTATTATGCTCTTTTACAAAGTCTTAATTTTGTTTTGGGGGAGTACTAGAACAGGCTCTCATACTAGGTTGTTTGAAAAACACATTATTTTTCACATATTTCACATTATTACAACACCTCTCTCCCCAGTCTGGCATGAACGGCTGGAATAGTTCCTGTATCAAATGAAGGCCCGCCTTCTGAAATACCAAATGTGCTGTGATTGGTTAGCTGGAACAGTGCGTGTTGTGATTGGCAGCACTCCGCGCCTGGTCGGGAAATGTCACGCCCCTTACCATAGCCGCCTGCGAGCTTCAGTGTAAATATTGCGTCAAAATCAAATAAATTTGAGCACGATTTAAACCCGGATGATTGTAACCACACTAAGTTCATCTGCCTTGGGAAAGCTAGCGTGTCGCTGACATAGTGATAACACTCGTTGCCTTTTCTAGTGCAGCTCAACCAGGTCTCATCCCCATTCGTCGATATTTGTGATATCACAAATCCCGGAAAATATGCGTTGTAGTCCAAACAAGTCATTCGTTGTAGTTTTTGAAAAGTGATTTCTGTTAAATAAAATATCTCCTTTTGAATTGGACTTTGAGCTTTATAACTTTGCAGATCTCTTTTATGCTCAAACAGCAACATTACAGACTAACTAAAGTTGAAAGTGAAAAAGCAAAATAGGACCCCTTTAAATAGGTGAGGCATACAAAGAGCTTCTAAAGAATTGCTGCAACAGCTTGAGGAGGGCTCTCTATTGTTTTAGCATCACTGTATACTAAAAGCGAGGAGCACACAGAAATGTTTGACTAAATCTGATGTTGAAAACCTTCAGGGACACCTAAAGGAAGACCTTAAGACTCATTACTAGATGCAATCTACCTCAAATAACAATACAAAGCATATGGAATAAAAACAAGTCACATCCTTTTTTGAAATTCTACATCCATACTATAATATCCTGATGGCAGATTCTCAACAGCAGCTAGGGTTAAATTAACATAACTAAACAAGAATAAATGCCAGAATGAGGACAAGCACAGACCAAAAAAAGAGTGAGAAGAATCAACCTAGTCCTGCTTTAACAATAAAGAAAACTTCTTACCCGAAGTCGCACACAGCCTCTTCTAGAGCCACGCATCATCTTGTCCTTGGACTGAAGATGGAGACAAGAGTGTTAAAGGAGCATTTTGATAAATGACCAACACAGGACTGGAATACATTCAAATCTCACTTTGCTGAAGATTTAAGAAGTTCACAAACTGTTGGGTCTAAGATCATACATGTAACCAATTTGGATTTTGCATCATACAGTAGAAAATAGGCAGTTCTTTTAACATTACTATTTGCCTTTTAATACATAGGACATTCTTTATATTAATATTTAATATACTTCCTAAATTATAAATAATAACAACATTGTAAACAATGGTAGTATTCTGGAAACTGAGACTTGCAAAGCAGAGTTTTTTTATATTAAAAACGATATACACATTTTATACACACACACACACATATATATATATATATATATATATATATACACACACACACACAGAGAACGTTAATGACATCCCAATCTTAATTCTTAATCCATAGGGTTTAATATGGAGTTGGCACACCCTTTGCAGCTCTAACAGCTTCAACTCTTCTGGGAAGGCCGGGTTAAAGAGTGTGTTTATGGGAACTTTTGACCATTCTTCTAGAAGCGTATTTGTGAGGTCAGGCACTGATTTTGGACGAGAAGGCCTGGCTCGCAGTCTCCGTTCTAATTAATTCCAAAGGTGTTCTATCGGGTTGAGGCACCTCAGTGGCTGAGTTGCTATTGTTCCCAATTGCTTCCACTTTGTTATAATACCACTAACAGTTGACTGTGGAATATTTAGTAGTGAGGACCTATGGCAACCTATCACGGTACCATGATTGAGCTCCTGAGAGCGACCCATTCTTTCACAAATGTTTGTAGAAGCAGTCTGCATGCCTAGGTGCTTGATTTTATACACCTGTGGCCATGGAAGTGATTGGAAAATGAATGAATGAATGAGCCCTTTATTGTCACTGATCACAGGTACCAGCGAAATTACCCATCCACCTGTCCATACATACAATATGACAAGGGGGGTAGACAGGACAGGAGGACAGGGAATTTTAGAAGAAATACAGCATAACATGAGGGAAGGGAGGAGATAAAAAAAACAGACCCCAGACTATGCTCCTATGGGGAGCACAGTGTGGGAACAGGAAAAAAACACCTCAGCAACATAAGCACATCAATACAGATACACACGACTTGCAACAGGGTAGGGGGAGAGGGGGGGTGGAGGTAATCCAGCACAGGCAAGCAGCCTGGTCCTGCAGCCATTCTCGGCGCTGATCGCAGACCCGCTTGTCAGACTGGCGGAACAAAGCGGCGAAGGCGAGGGATCTGGGCAAGGTTGGTAAATGTCAGGAGTTGGGGGAAGGAACACAAGAGCGTCTCACTGCAGTGCTCTCTCGGGGGAGTAGTTGTCCCAACAGCGGCCTTGGCTGAGGCCAGTGCTGGTTGAGGGGAGCCAAAAGCAGATAAGATTAGGATTGTTTAGTCTTGGGGCAAGTAGCCGCATTCCAGTTTACACGACTACTCTCTTTGTCCATTCTGGTCTCCGAATCGATCCATTTGCCTTTGCAAAGCAGTGAGCTTCTCCGTGATGTTATCCATTTTGCGGTTAATAGTTCCAGTCTCAGTGCTGACCGCTCTGCCCACTGCTTCAATCATGACGGGCAGCCTTGTGAGGCTTTGGTCCGGTTTCTGAATTTCTCGATAAACCAGGGCAATGCCTAATCCAATCAGCATAAGACCTGTTATCATGGTTCCGAATAGGTAGATATCTTCAATGTCCTCCACGGAAAGAGCCGCTAGACACACGACCCGCCACCTTTCCCACGCGTCCATCGTGTAGCCAGCTGCAAACATTCCGGCAGGGCAGTCAGGTTCCCCCGAACCCAAGCTTCTTGTCGAGAAGATGGTGTCAATTGACATACAGTATTTTATACTATAAATAATTAGTCCTATACTGTATATCACACACACACATACATGTATATATATATATATATATATATACACACATAACTTATTTGTTATTAGCACACACATAACTTATTAGCACTTTCCGTTTTATATCTCTGTTTGACAGTTTCAGTTGTTGGGTCATGATTATACGCAGTATTAGCATCACAGTAAACCAAGAAAATCAGTGAAGAGTGAAGAGTTCATTTTTACCTATTTAACCCAGTGCCAATAAACAATCACTGGCCAAAAAATTATATGGCCTATATATGTAGACATTAACAAACCTGAGAGCTCTAGCTGTGGATGATTTACAGACAGCAACTGCAGCTCTTAGCTTAGCTATTTATCTTGTGTTTGGACATTATAGAGCTTTCCGGATGAAGTCTGAAAGCTATAAATGTGTGTTAAGACATTTAATATCCTGCAGCTAACGCATCCAAAACCGCGGTCACATGTGGACGCCTCCGCCCTTCAATTTTTGCACACAAAAAAAGTTACTACTGTAAGCATTTTTTCCAAGGGAGGTGGACTTCCTGCTGACAACACGTCGAGTCTAGCTGCTCATTGGCTAACGGCTTCCCCGGCAAAGCCCGGACTGGTTGAAGTCGCGGTCACTCAAGCTAAGCCCCGCCCCAACCAGATTCCTAACTCCTGACAGGCCTGCGAGTGCTCGTTTGCTTCCCAACGTTAAACGTTCGTGGAACGGGCCACTAAGCGATCAAACCTCTCTCATATCTTGTAGCCATGAAAGAAAAACTTACAGTGTAGTATGACAGCAACCCGGCGTTATAGTCCAGTACAAACCAGCGGTACTGCCACCCCTTCATGACGTTAGTCCATTTGCTCAGCGGCCCCTCCATGATGGACGCCATTTTTACACTTTGCCTGAGTGCTCGCGGGGAGGAGCGCGCGGCGAGAAAACCATGCGTCTGACGTCACATGCTGAACTGTGCCTTACTTTATAACATTACAAGAATGACTTCTGGAAGCTTATCTTTATTTGACCCTCTAACTCTAGCACTCTCTATTCTAATTATATTCTTAAAAAAAAAAAACTTGCCCCTTTTAGACTCTATTTACTAACTGCTTGTTTTCTTAAAAAAAAAAAAAACCACTAGCTTCTCTAATCTTTTTGCATTCGATCTATTTGTTTTCTTTCTATTTATTATAATTCCCAAGCCCAGTGTGTAATTCCTGGAGTTATTACAAATAAAATGCATGTCTCTTATTTCACCAGGTCTTCCCATATAAAAGGGAATAAACTCATAGAACTCACTAGAGCATCATTCTCTCAAAATCCAGGGTCATGGGACACATCATCCAATCTTTCCAGCTGCACTGCATACCATTGCACACATTCGCCTGTTTCAGGCGGTCTGTGGCGAGCCTTGACACATAGGACACATCAGCCAGCAGCGTCGTCCCGTTGTATGAGTTCCACTGCGCGCAGGAGGTGCCTGCCAAGTGTCTTTCCAATTATAGATGGAGAATTTCATTCAGCTCACAGACACATGTTTATGAAGCCAATCTCAGGAACAGCCTAATCTGCCAGTAAAAGTAAGTCTGATTCATATGCATTAAAGATCTCCACGTTTACATTGCAATATTTCCCTTATCATAAAATTCATCACATAAGTAAGTAATATCCACCCTAATATTGTCTTGTTTCAACAGATACCTTGAGCACAAGGGAAAAGTAATGAGGGGGGGTGGTGAAAATGCCATAGCACGTCAAACGCAGAGGAATCGAAAGGTCTTTTTTTTATGAGACAGACTCCGCATGCTGCTGGATGATGAAGATTATTTAGAACTTTCTCCTTTTGCTGGAGTTGGTCTGCCCTATGGAGACATCCCATCAGCAGGCTGTCTCACAGGTAATATACTACATAATACAGTGAAAAGTATTATCATATATGAATTATGGTTAATAAAAAAAATTAATGAATAAAAACAAAATTTTGCTAGGCATTACAAAGGTCAAAATCAGAATTTCAGTCATGCTTCTTTGTGAGGATTTAACATTTTGTCATTTAAATGAAGGTTGCAGTATTGTTACCAATAATTAAATAATAAATAAATATGGCATTTTTCTCCTTTCAGTGCACCAGCCTGAAACTATTAAAGTGTGTGACGGTTGTTTATTTATTGCTTGGCTTTTATTATTAGTCATAATATTAGTTTGACTTTATTTATTATTTGGATTCATTAGACTTAATATAATTAGACATAATTATTAGATATTAATTGATATTAAAATTGTGCATAGGAATTTCTCTTCCTTAGTAACAGTTCTATTTATTTTTCCATAGGAATCGGTCAGATTAATGGACTTTGGTGCATGTTCATTGCTAATGATGCCACTGTGAAAGGAGGTACAGCATATCCCATCACAGTTCAAAAGCAAGCTCAGGGCGCAGGTTGTGGCCATGCAGAATCGCTTGCCCTCTGTTTACTTGGTGGACAGTGGTGGTGCATTTCTGCCTCTTCAGGTAACTTGCATCTGTTGCCATGGCGATCTCTGTTATCTCTTAATGGTGCATTAATGGTTGTGCAACTGCTGTATCAACAGTCAGAGATCTTTCCTGAAAGAAACCATGGAGGACGCACCTTTTACAATGAATGAAGATTCCTCAGGTATTAAAAGATTCATGCAAAATATTCTTATTAAAAAACAAATATCCATTCCTGGTGAATTATTATTATTATTATTGTGTTATTCTTTTATTTGAGTGTAATGTCATTACATCTAGGGAGCAGTAGTGTGTGGATCATGCACAGCTGGTGGGGCCGCTTATGTCCCCACTATGTCTGAGGAGGAGGTGATTGTCCACAGGATAGGAACACTATTTTTGGGAGGCCCACCGCTGGTGAAAGCTGCAACCGGAGAGGAGGTTTCTCCAGAGGACCTGGGAGGAGTCAGGCTGGACTCAGAGTATGCTGTTTCCTACTTTGGTTGTATTTTCTTATATCTTGTTCCCAGAGCAGTGGTTTCCTGTATATCCACAACCATGTTATTAATAGATAAATAATGATGAACATGGGATGGTTAACAAACAGACCAAAATCATCCTGCTTTGCTTCACTGATTGTCAGTCAAGTTTTGGGGGTATATTTAAAGCAGAAGAGAGTATTCGGTTCATTTAAAAATATAATATAAAACCCCTTTAATAATAATACAGAATTATAAAGAAAAATAACAGTATTAATATAATACAATATAATATTTACATTTACATTTACATTTAGCAGACGCTTTTATCCAAAGCGACTTACAAATGAGGACAATGGAAGCAATCAAAATCAACAAAAGAACAAGTCTCAGTTAGCTTAACGCAGTACACATAGCAAGTTTTTTTTAAATAATATAATAAATAAAAAGAAAACAGATAGAATAGAAAAATAATAATATAATAATTAATATATATAATACAAATAAATATTATATAAAAATTATTAAATATAATATTAATTTTGGAGCAGTGTTTCACATGTATCCTGCATAGTTTTGCTTAGCTGATGGAATATAATACACATATAATATAATATAATATAATATGTTGACCATAATATTAATAAAATAAAATAGTATTAATAAATAAAAAATAATAGTATTAATATATAATATAACAATTGAATTCAATATTAATATTAATATTGCAATGATATTATAAATGCATCCGGCACAGTTTTGCTCAGCTGAAATATTTTTTTCTCAATATTTCTCTAATTTAACTGCAAATTTCCTGCCTCCTTGTCTGTATCACTAGAGTGAGCGGCTGTGCGGATTATTTTGCTTCAGCAGAGAATGAGGCATATGAGTATACCAAAACATCATCTCAACCCTAAATTATGAGCTCCCAGAGGAGGACAGCGCTCAGGTTGAGGAGCCGCTGTACAACATGGACGATCTCATGGGCCTTGCACCCCATTGCTACAATCACAGCATGGATGTCAGACAGGTAAAGACACGTTGCATCGTTATGGTACCTCCCTCATCACTGGGTTTGCCAGAATTGAAGGGTAATAACTTTTGGAGGATGTTTTTAGTATTTGTTTTTAGTTAAATTTGTTATTACAAAAAAGTAAGGTGTTTTGATTATTGTGTAAGTGGCATTTAAAATGTCTTTCTAAAAACTGAAAATAAACCTTTTATCCCACTGTTTAAACATGTTTCTAGGTCACCTCAAGCAATCAGGACACTGCCTTGACAGTAAAATGTTAGACAGTATAATGGTAAATGTAAAGATAAAACAGTTAACCCTGTTAACCTCGAAAATCTGATTTTCATGCTTCTGAATGTCTGGCCAATCAGATCTGAGCAGGATGTGGATTAAGAAGAGGAATCTTTTTCTACTGAGATTTCAGATCATGGCTAAAGATGGGAACCGATCTCTTCAAGCATCTTTTATTTAATCACACAAAGAGCGTCTCTGAGAGCTGCTTTGTTGTCGTGGCAATCAGAAACTCACCAAATGAATGTGAAACTCCTACCAAAAAGATTAATCTACGTCAGAGATGCTCAGATAAAACTGTTATTGAGGGTTTTGTTACGCTGGACAAACACTACTCTGTATTTTTAAACTGATATTTCTTTTGTTACTTTATATTTAATATTTGCTTTCACCTTTATTTAATTGGCAGTGCTTGCTGCCAGAATCACTCAGAGTTTAAAGTTTTTGTTAAATTGATCCCACATTGTTTGTGCTACAGACATGAATTATACCTTTAATTATGTGGCTTGTTGAGAAGATGTAGGTTATTTTTTAATCAACTAGACTTAAAATTTCCACCTGGCAGACAATAAAGTGTGAATAAATCTGAAAAATTGACATTGGATGAGTCATATTTTGGGGGCTAAAATATCATAAAGGCTTTTTACACTTCACTCAGTAAGGAACCACCCAGAAGACTGTAGTTACATGCTAAAAACCACTCAGACCACCCAGAACATATTAGCGGAGGGGTTTTGCATTGGCAAACCTCAGTTATGTTTTCCTGTTTCTTTACTATGGTCACATTGAAGCTGATTTGATTTCCCCCATCAATCTGTAGTCATCAGATTGGAATCGTGGCAAATAATGGAGAGCTGACACATGAAGCTTCCCTGAAAGGCAGTCATTTTGTTCAGCTGTGTGACCAGAGAGACATTCCCCTCATGTTCCTGCAAAACACAGCACCAGAACATGCACACACAATCTCACAAGCCAAGGTACATCGGAAGACATTTATATGCTGACTATCCATCAGTTACAAAGATTCTGTAAAAAGGAAGTCAAATTACTTGTAATTTCATTTAAATATGCATGTGATACACAGAAAACTGTAGTAGTTTCCACTTTGGTACAAAGAAGTGTTTTTTTTAATGGAATGATATCTGGCCCTGCTCACACGGCATCTTGTTTTACTTTGTTACTTGCTCTCTTTCCTCTTTTCTTCACTTCATTCGTCTAAACCTCTTGTTCTCTTTCCCATCCTCCTTAGGCAGAGTCCTACACTAACAGACTGAAGGCTCAGGCTTCCATGATGTCTGCTGTGGCTTGTGCTTCTGTTCCCAAAATTACTGTGGTTCTTGGAGGTTGTCATGGAGGTGACAGCTATGCTATGGTCAGTATATAAATCTGATATGTATTATTAGAATTTATAAATCTAAAAAACAAACAAAAAACTGAGCAGTTAAAAATGTAAAATCTTTCTGAACACTTTTTTAGTGTGGAAGGGCTTTTTACCCTAATTTCCTGTGGCCCAATGCAAGAGTGTCGATTTTGGCCCCAGGCCACTCAGATGCATTTGTGCTGAAGACTAAAGATTAAATCACACAGATTAATGAGATGTAAGAGCCGATGTAACAGGATGTCAAATTTATTATCGACAGATTAGTTTAAGGTCCATAAGTGGCTGTTTTAAAGGTGTATTAAAAATGCATAAAATAAATATATATATATATAAATAAATAAAAATGTATTAAAAAAATAATTAAAAATGTTGACCTTGTGAAGGTTGGGGGAAGAAAGTTCAGCATTCTTTTCCACTGGCAGACTGTGGGATGATGGTGTTATTCGACCTCAAGACACCAGAAAGGTAAAAGAGCTAGCAATTTTTTTTATTATTTTTTTTATTTCTATGTGGTTCAATGATTAATCTTCTATTTGTAAATTTGCTATACAGATATGAATGTTGGTTTAATTTTCCCTTTTAATTCATCGTGATACCTCATACTTTACAAATTATAGACAAAAAAGCACAGAGCACTAGACTTTTCACTGGAAGGCCATAATGAAAAGCAACTGTTGAGGGTTTTAATGGCATCATTAAAGTAAACCTAAGTGATATTAACTAGAATTAACTAGTGCTCTTAATTAAAACCTCTTTATAATAACCTGGAATATTTCTTTCAAATAAATTCCATTTGTATTGATATTTTGATATTCTAATGCAATTGCATGAATATATTTTTAAGTGTGGTTTAACTGCCCAAATAACTTTTTCATTATCTTAAAACATTAACTTTTTTTCACAATTTATGGACTTTATTCAAAATATGGATTGCACTCTTGAAATAACAAAGCTTTATAAAACACATGCTTCTGTTCTCTTTTGTTAGGTTTTGAGCAAGTGTCTGAAAATCATTAAACAACAAGACTATCAATTGTGTCTTGTTGTCAGAAAATGAGGACGCCTTTTCTCCGAATGTAACACTACCTCTGCAGAAACCTCAGTGAATTTTATAAACTCGTATAAGGTGTTTTATTAAAGTAATAAACTAACACATATCTTTATATTTTAATGACACTGTGGCTGTAATCAACAGCACTGCCTTATCATTGTGATTTTCTGACTGATGTAACAAACACATTTGTACATATGGACTTTTACTTGTGAATAAATAATTTTTCCTATATGCTGAAGTAAAAAGTTTATTTAAAAAAAAAAAAGTATTTCCTATAGTACACGTTCTCAAAAAGCTGTTGCATTACAAGCATATCAGGTCATATAACTGGCCCATTTAAATGAGCAACAATAACATTGATTTTACATGTATTATAAAAAAATGTCAAATTTGAAAGTATTATCTGTTTACTGAAATGCAATGTCATGATTCTGATCCTCTAAGGTTTGTACAGGCCATGAAGAGTGACAGGAATCATGACATCAACCTCTGCACGTGCTATTTCTGTCAGGTCAGTGGCATTGAGTATGAGGAGGAACGCTGGCCTCTGCGTGACTCCTGGTTTCACTACAATACTCAGAAGAACACCTAAGAAAAGCAGAACGAAGACATTTACATCGAGAATAAACAGATCAGAAATATATCTTTTGTTTAGTAAAAGATATGCAATACCATCATCTTCGTCTTTAGCATCAGGGCTTTGCACAAACAGTGGTTCGGATGGATAGGCATCTGGCTCCTGCCATATCCACGTTTCTTTGCTTTTCACATTCAACTTGCAAATCTTAAACCCCACAAAAATAACACAAATCACAAACACAGAGCAAATGTTGAACATGAAGAATGTTTTCAGTATCACGTCACACCCACCCGGTCTGGAACAAAGTGGTTTAGCCCAAGTCCGTAAGCGAAGGTGTAATTTTTCCCACAGTATTTTTTGTAGTTAATCTGAGGAAACTCAAAAGCTGAAACACAAACAGAATCCCGAAGAAAAAAAACTTTTGATACATTCAATTTTAAGTACTGGATATCAATGCAATAGTAATTGAATTTTTTTTTAATAAAAACTATAATAACTCTGCTGTATTTATGACAATTTCCAAATAAGGAAGGTGCTGAATATTTACCTTGATGCGGTCCAGAAAAAAGAACTTCAGGTTCAAGCCAAACGGTTCCATCACTGCACATGACAGCTGTGGCTGTGGTGTATGGAAGCGAAACTAAATTCTTTCCCTGCTCTTCCTGCAAAAACAACAAAGGAATGAACCAACAGACTGTTGAACAAAGGAATGAACTAACAGACTCACTTCAACAAAAGGTACAGTTCGAATTGGAAAGACAGAGACAAAGCGATCAAGAAACGAACTGAATTCAATCTAATTGTTCCTGAGGTGAAATAGTATCATGATAACTCTTACCCTGTGGATGTCCAGTGGAAGCACGTATCTCCGCACCTCTGGCTGTGGAGCTCTTATGGCTGCTTTTTTGACTTCCTCCCAGTTTTGCCTCACGTTTGCCAAATATAGGTAATTATACACAAAATCATGCCTGTCAATCAAAGAAAGAGGGCCACAGATGATCACTATAGTCTAAATTTTGAGCCATTATCAAATTCATGTGCAGCGTGTTTTTTATTTAATTGATCTATTAGCTAAAGCTTCAATAAAAAAAAAGAGTATGTTATCTGATGGACTGGAGTCGTGTGGATTACTTATGGATTATTGTGATGTTTTTATCAGCTGTTTAGACTCTCATTTTGATGGCACCCATTCACTGCAGAGGATCCACTGACGAGCAACTGATGTAATGCAATGTAAAGCATGAGGTTTTTTGTTAATTTTTAGGTGAACTATTCCTTTAAAGGATTTATGTTATTGTTAATAGCCTCAAAATTGGGCAACAGTGCAAAATCCTACCTTTTTTATTGTTTCTAGGGTATCAGGGTCAACTTTGGTTATGTAGTTGGTTTCCGTGCAGGCATAGAAGTCCTCACCAATAGGGTAGATGTTGACAAGGCAGTTGTCCGTCACCTCAATGCCTTGAAAGTAAGTAAAAAACCTGATGTGAAAAAAGGAAGTTCCAAAAATAAATGCACCATTAGGAGTAAATTTGTTTTCATGGCGTTATTATTCTACTCCCAAATGAAATGGAACAGAAAATACTTTCCAGACCTGGAAAAGATGTTTTTGCATGGATCTGGATATGCAGCGGTGCCAAACTCTGTGATCACAATCCTTTTCTCTGTCATGGCTCTCACATAAGCATCAGTTCTGATAAACCTAAAGTAAAAGGTGCCAGTAAATATGCATTCGATTTAGTAAAATCTAACTTCTTTATTGTGTAAACCACTTTTTACAAAACAAGTTAGTCCAACACTAGTCATTTCCATTCCAGTAAATTACTGCAAAACATTTAGGTCAAAACTCAATTTGGGTTGCAGTTTATTTATATATTTGGGTATTACTGCACGATAAACACATGAAAATACAGGGGTTTTACCTGCGGTAATAAGTGACATGTCCATCTTTCAGGTCAAACTTGTGCATGAGGGCCTGACCATCAAAAAGGTGGTAAAAAGGTTCATCTCCAATCTCAAAGAGCCCAGGGCCCATACGGAGCAGACTGCCAGTGAGCCAGGCAGGGATATTGCCTGCAGAGAGAAAGAGAGAGAGAGAGCGAGAGAAAGAGAGAGAGAGAGAAGGTTCACTTTAACCAAACAAATTCTTCAGCCCCCAAATGTCTATAAAACAGCTCCCATATCAAAGGCAACAAGGCATTTACATCGGCCACAGCAGAAGATGCATACACTTTTCCCTTCAATGAAAGCATGGAGAAATTAAATGTGGAAAATTATCAAATTGAAAATGCTTGATTTATAAGATTATAGGCATACAACCTGAGACATGAGCAGGAATGGGCTCAGCTAACTCTTCACATGACTCAAAGATTTTTTTATAGCCACCGGCTGGGTGTTCAAGACTGAATGAAAACAGATGTCCACATTTTTAACATAATGAACTAAAATGAAAAAGAAAACAACTAAACTTATACTAACATACTCATTCGTGAGGCATTTTGCACATTCTTCTAAATTATACATTGCCCAAAGGGAATAAAAATATAAGCTTGAAAGAAACAAATGACTAAGGAAACATCACTTTTAAAAAGAAATCTGTTTAAAATTAACAATAAATGAAACACGTTTTCCCCTACCAAAAAACATTTGTACAATCTGAGCAGTTTGACTGAGACCGAAAAGTTCCATTACTCACCGGCTGACCATGTTGAAATGAGTTTGAGGTGAGATGATGCCTGTGTGTGCAAACCAGAACTGTTCTGTTCCCAGGAACAGCCACAGAGTCTTAGAACTCCTCCTCCAGCTCTGAAACAAAAAGCCCTTTGTGTTCAGACCAAGAACATTTCCACTCATTTTTACTTTCCTGAAAGACACTACAGAGCAAATGAAGAACACATTTGAACCTGTGGTGAACTGGCTCAATTTGCAGAAAGCTTTATGAATATTTTTTTTTAAATTAAGAAATAAATGTAAATAAATAACATCCATAACAAGAGTCCACAATATAACAATACAAAAAGTTGCCAATTGCCCATAGTCTTAACAAAAGACATGGGAATGTGGCATGTGAAAAGGCATTTCATTAATCACATTTTCTTTGTTTACTTCCCTGGATGACAAATTATGTTTTTTCAGGGTCAGAGTACCATATCATTCATAAACGGAGACTGGATGTGAATACTGATGAAGGTGCGCACAGCAGCACTTCTCACAAGTCAGAGACTACAAAGGCATGCACATATGCATGAACGTTCATATCTTTACTGACAATACTTCCATAATAAAAAAAAAAAAATAAAAAATCACATTTCACACAAACAAACAAAAAATGCTTATTTAAAAAAAAATTTATTGCATAGATCAGAAACAGTATAAGTATTTATGGTGATACAATAAAGTAATAAAAAACATAAAACGTAATAAATTTGGCTCACTTATGCTCATTAACGATACAGTAAAACCATAAATCAATCATTGTCCAAGTTTAGTCTTTCAATCTTAAAATACAAGCCACTGAATCAGCACAATGACTGAGTGCAAGATGATAAAACAAAGAACATAAGCAATGAACAAACAATAATGACTAGAAAGAAAATATGTACATCATAAGAAATGACAACGTTAGCACATTTGAGATGAAAAAACAGTGCAAATTAACCCATACTAGCTTCGTAGCCAGGAAACTCCCACATTACACAAAGCCTATATATTTGTCTTTAATAGTGAAGACACCTGAAGATGACACACAAAAAGGTGATCACAGAAAAATAAGGGACTAAAAACTGAAACATAAACAATGTTACAAGACTAAAAATAAAATCTTCATTTTATTTCAAGACGACTCCATGTAAACAGCATGTTAAGCCTATTTGCTTAATATTTGCTGAGGGTCCTCTGATTTTTTTGCAGTTATTATGACACTGAATATCTACAAGCTCCCAATAACTTACAGTAAATCACACACTTTAAATAAATAGCATTAAAATAGACATCTGTATTGAAACTGAAATAAAAGTCACTTCACTAGAGAGAAATACCAAAAGAAACAAGAAAAAAAAAACACTTCAACAAAAGGTACAGTTCAGATTATACTGATGCGTTTCAATGTCAGCCCTTTTACTGCAACAGATCAACTAAAGGTCTTTAAACTCAACCAGGCTCCCAAAATATCGTTCACACATGAGCATTTTAAGAGGTATTCAGTTTCGAATACTGAAGGTTTTGGCTTTCTTGATGCTTAACAGCATTGGCGGTTTTATCTTTGGTTTATCTGCAAAAAGCTGAGCTTCACTCTCTGTTGTGGGAAAACGTCTCGAGTAGATGTCAGGATGTTCCTTCTGAAACTGAGAGAAGAACAACAACAAAAAAAGTCAATTTGCTGTTAGGACGTCATAAAATTAACAAACAAACAATGAATCAACACTAAATTTCAATTTGTGTTTAATATTTACTGCTAGAAAATAAAGTAATAAAAATGTTTAAGGCCTCATTTTGTATCCCTTCCGTGGAAATAGCAGGATGTTTATGAGATATGAGAAGTTCAGTAAATAAATACCAGTTTTAGCTTCTTTTTCTTCTCTTTCACAGACATGCTCTTGTCCTTTATGAGACTCTCCAGTAGGTCAGCAAGAGCAGTCTGGGACACAGAGAGTTTCTGCTCTTCAAACTCCTGAGTGCTGATCTGCCTGCAGAATGAGTATGTCGGCATGGCAACACCGGAGCCTCGGAATGTGGTCTGAGATCCAGAACGCATGCAAATGAATGGTGAATAAACAAAATATAATGCAAGAATAAATGAATAAACAGAGGCATCTCTTCCCGTGATTAATTTGGTTTAAATACAGTTTAACATGTTCTGTGTTTAATTCCTCCAATACAATGGCCCTGAAGACATCTATTGTAAATCCATTGCAATACAAACAAAAATATCTTTGATTTTACAAACTGAGGGATGAGACCGAATTGCTCACAACAGATGCTTTTGTTTTAACTCAAGTTCTGTCAATTCCTTCATCCTCAGGTTGCATTAAATTAAAATTATTTAAAATATACACTGCCATTCAAAAGTTTGGGGTCCGATTTTTTGTGTGTAAATAAATTCACACTTTTATTAACCAAGGATGCATTAATTTGCTCAAACGTGACCGTAAAAAGATTTATAATGTTACAAAAGATTCCCATTTCTAATAAATGCTGTTCTTTTTAAACTTTCTATTCATCAAAGAATCATGGAAAAAATATATCAAGATTTTCATAAAGATATTAGGCAAGACCAACTGTTTTTAACATTGATAATAATAAGACATCTTAGACTGATTTCTGAAGGATCATGTGACACTGAAGACTGGAGTAATAGCTGCTGAAAATTCAGCTTTGCCATCCCAGGAATAAATATTTATTTAAATATTTAACACTTAAAATATATTAAAACAGAGAACAGTTATTTTAAACTATAATAATAATTTCACAATATTATCCTTTTAACTGTATTTTTGATTAAACAAATGCAGCCTTGATGAGCTTTATTTAAATTTAGTTAATTATAGTTCTATATATTTAGCATTTTAAACAACACTGCCAATATATTGTTAATATTGAAATAAATATAAATTTAAATAAACTTTTTTCTAAGAAATATACAGTGTGAGTTTAATTTCCATGTGGTTTGTCAGGACTCACCAGTGATTTGAGATAAGTGATGTGATCTTCCACAGCATTACGCAGGTACACAGGCACCTCCAGGACCTCCTGATGGTGATCCATGAGAAACGATAACAGCCTTGTAGCCAAGAGCTCGTCCAGATCATCCACCTCCTCACAGCTCAACACACACCTAGAGAACGTCTGCACCAACTGCACACACATAAATGCAAATGTATATGCAATGTGTACGAAAGAACGGGAAAACACTATAAAAAAAAAAAACTGGACTCTTCCTGACCACTGTCCTTGTTCCAATGACATCATGCAGCCGCGGCATGTCCACGTTCTGGCTCATGCGTGAGATCATTCGCAGAAGTAGCTGTAGTTTGCGGCGGCTGGCTGGTGGCAGGAGTAACGTGCAGAGCTGCAGGGCCTCGACGGCCACCCGCTCCAGTGACGGCTGCAATAAACCTGGAATGTGATGTGACCCACATGTAACCGAAATAAACCACAGCACAGGACTAGAAGTTAAATACAAACAAGATGAATACATATAAAACTTAAACATCATGTAATCAGTACTGATGATCAAATCACACACATTACCTGCTTTCAGCAACACACAGTTTACATGTAATGAAATATTTTGCTACGCTTGGAATGTCTAATTCAAATTACAGTAACTAGTGATAATATACAGTTGTGGTCAACATTTTACATACACTTTACAGTATCATTTTTTTCTTCTGAAGCATCAATGACTGTTTGAACCTTTTGTAATAGTTGCATATCCCTCAGTTGTCCTCAGTGTGAAAATCTCAAAATCATACAGTCATTGTTGGAAAGGGTTGAAATATGCAGAAGATGTAGGAAAACCACAGAATTTGTGGGACCTGAAGGATTTTTCTGAAGAACAGCGGGCAGTTTAACTGTTCAGGACAAACAAGGGACTCAAGAACAACTATCACAAAACAAAATATAATAAAAAGCTGTGGATCATCCAGAAAACAACACTGTATTAATATTCAAGCACATGTAAACTTTTGAATAGGGCCATTTTTATAAATGTAACTTATTTTCTCTTGTGGACTATATGTAAATATCTTTTATGTGAAATATCTTATTCTGGTCAGTACTAAATAAAAAAATAACATGCATTTTGTAAGATCCCTCTTATTTTGGTAAAACAATTAACATTTTGCAGTGCAAGTAAAATTTTGACCACAACTGTATATACTGTATCTATATATATTTATATAGATAGATGTTCTACATGTAAAATTGAAATTCAATTTAATCTATTAAATAACCTTGACACAGACACATGAATATTATGTTTTAAGTCATTTCAAATTAGTTTAGAATTATACATCTATTCATATAATTTGCATTCTATTTCTTTCTTTTTATTTTTTGTAACAAACACACACTACACCCTGGTCTAACCTGTTTTTTTTTGTACCAAAAATTTTGCCAAATAAATAAATATATATATACTGTAAAAAAAAGAATTATTAGTAACCAAAGTGTTCCATAGAATTAGTTAGCATTAAAGTGATAGTTAAGGAGCAGATTTATTTCCTCCTAAGTATCTCTTTTGTGTTCCAAGCAAGAAAGTAAGATATACAGGTTTGGAAAAACATGAGAGTGAGTAAATTTTTGGGTGAACTATCCCTTTAAGAATTATAATTCACGTTAGTCTGGTGGGCATAAACAAACACATGCTCAAGCACAAACAGAGAAGCACATTCTCATGGTTCATGTGTGTTTTTCACATGCTCTTACTTTGCTCAGGGTGGCGTGCTAATGGGGCCGAAGGAGGCCGAGTGGGTGCAGGTTTGCTCAGGTCCAGAGAGCTCTGACAGCGTCTGCTAAAGCTCGGACCTGCCCTAATGTCCATGCAACTTCCATGCAAACTGAGCAAACCAGGACCTCGAAGGCCAATGCTGGATGTGGAATCTGGTCTCATGGTAATTTCAGCCACAGGAGCGTGGATGCTAAAGCTGCTAGCAGACATTTCTCTATTCTCCTTTATGTCAAACAAGTTACCAATGCTTCTAGGTCGGGCCCTGGAGGGTCTCTGGTTGGTTCGGCG